ACCCTAACCCTAACCCTAACCCTAACCCTAACCCTAACCCTAACCCTAACCCTAACCCTAACCCTAACCCTAACCCTAACCCTAACCCTAACCCAAAGTTGCTGCGAGTGAAGCCCATACCGCGGAGGGTGGCATCAGCCTTGTGGTACCACGTGCGTCCCGCTTGCTTGAGTCCGTACAATGACTTGTTTAGCTTGCACACCTGGCCAGTCGTTGCACCACGCGGTGCGTCTGGGGTAGGTGGTGGGCGCATGTACAAGTCTTTGTCGACTTCGCCGTTCAGGTATGCAGTTGCGACATCCATCTGGTAGATCTTCCATTCGAGCTGGATGCTGATGATCATGAGCAGTCGGAGTGTGGCGAGTTTGACGACTGGGGCGAAGGTTTCGTCATAGTCGATGCCATGCTTCTGGGCGAAGCCTTGGGCGACTAGACGAGCCTTGTACTTGTCAACGGTACCATCGGCCTTTCGCTTGACCTTGAAGACCCAGCGACTACCAATGATGTTGGCATTTGCGGGGGGATCGACAAGAGTCCACGTGTTGTTCTCAGCGTGCAACTCCAGCTCCTTCGCTATGGCGGCCTGCCAGAGGGGCCAGTCGTCGCGTTTGAAGGCTTGGGCCACAGTGCGCGGCTCATCATTGAGGAGGCCCACTGGGTCATGAAGATCGTGTGCGGTGTCGTCGGTAGGGGCGTTGTTGGCGACGGCGTGAGCGAGCAGGCGAGGGGACGAGGGTGGTGAGCCGGGTGGCGTCGCAAGGCCGAGTGCCCGTTCTTCGTCGGAAAGGTAGGGGTACCTGTTGAATTCCGAGTTTTCGGGCGCGAGGGCCGGAATTACCACTTCGACACCCAAACTAGGGTCGGGTGTGTCAGAACGCGTGGGCGCGTTTTCCAGCCACTCGTCTTGTGCGTGAGATTCGTAATTGTTTTCGACAATTTCCATGAGTGGGAAATTCTTTTCGTCGAAAGTTGCGTGAATTTGCGTCAGGTAGCGCTCTTCGGTCGGGTCGTACAGCTTGAACGCCTTTGTTCCTGGGGAAACGCCCAGGTAGACGCAAGGTACGGCGCGGTTGTCGAGCTTTCCTCGTCGCTCCGCTGGCACATGGGCAAAGGCAGAACATCCGAATGTGCGGAGCATGTCTAGTTCCGCGTGTCTGCCAAACAATGCGAGGTACGGCGTTTGGAAGCCGTTTCCCTTGGTTGGCAGGCGGTTGTTGAGGTAGACAGCGTGGAGGAGTGCGTCGCCCCATAGGTTGCCTGGGGCCCCTGACTGAATCATCATACATCGTACCTGGTTGAACAGGGTGCGGTTCAGTCGTTCGGCGACGCCGTTCTGCTCCGGCGCATACGGCGAGGTACGTTCGTGGATGATGCCCTCGTCTTTGAGGAAGGCCTCTAGTTCGCGGTTGATGTACTCGCCACCGTTGTCGGAGCGTAGACGCTTCATTTGGTGGCCGACTTGCTTCTCCATGGTGGTTTTGAAGTCTTGGAGGTGGTCAAGGACCTCACTCTTGTGCGACATGAGGTACGCGGTGCTGTACTTGGAGTAGTCGTCGATGAATGTGACGGCGTAGCGGTATCCCTGGGAAGTAGTGTCCGGCATTGGTCCCACGACGTCGGAATATACCAGTTCCAGGGGTTTTTGAGAACGCGCGTGCGCGTGTTTGAACGCGCGCTTGGTTGACTTTCCCACCTCGCAAGTTTCACATTTAGTGTCCCGCGTGGGCAATTTAATGCCAAGTCTTTCTGCGTATTTGGCGACGTCTCTGAGTCGCTCGAGCCCCGGGTGACCAAGGCGGTCGTGCCAGTTGACTTCCCCAGTCGGCCGCTCGGAGGCGAGGGCAACAAAGTCAATGCCCACTTCGTCGACGTATGTGAGCGGTCCGATGTGCACACCGCGGCATGTGATGACGCCCTCAGGGGTGACGGCGATGGTCTCGCGGTGATTGGTGATGATGTCGACCTTCTTCCTCATCAGACCCGTGGAGAGTAGGTTGACGCCAAACGAGGGAATGTACGCGACGTTGTGCAACGTGATCCTGTTGGTGTTGCCGTTACCAACATTGACGATGAGCTCTACGATGCCAAGCCCTTCAATCTTGACGGGTACCTCGTTAGCGACCCAGATGGGTTTCATCGTTACCCCCATCTTGATGCTTTTGAACAACGATCTATTGCAGCAGATGTGTCGGCTGGCTCCTGAGTCCATGAGCCACATTGCCTCTCGAGGGTGGTGGAACTCGTTGACAGAGTAAGCGCTAGCTTCGCCGATGTTGGGCGTAGAACGTGCGTTATTGACTTGCTTCTTGGGTTTCGGGCATTTGTTTGCGTAGTGCCCCTTTTCCTGGCAGTTGTAGCAAGTAATGCGCTCGATTGGGGTTTTCTGCTTAGGTTTGTTAACACGTGCGCGCGTTTCTTGACGCGCGTGACGATTGTTGGGCCCGGCGTAGTAAGCAGACACGTTATTGCGGGAGCGTTGGTGCAGTCCGTGGGAGTGCAAACCAAGTCTGAGCTCTTCGCTTCGCAGTCGGGTGATGATTGAGTCGAGTTCGACCTTTTCGTCGATGACCTCGCTGTCGATGACGATGGTCTGGGTGGTTCCGTCATCACGACAGACCATGATTGTGCGGGGCTCTCGTCGCGACCTGTACGTCTCCTGGATCTGGGAGGAGATGTTTTCGTACTCCTTCCGAAGTCCCTTGATGAGGATCGAGTACTTCTTGTGGAAGGAAATGTCTCGTTTTGCTAGTTGGAGTTGATCGGCGAGTTCGTTGATTCGTCCAACGAACCCGTCAATGGATCGCTTTTCTTGTCGCAGGCTGTTGAACTCGGTCTCCATCTCCTCGAGTTGCCAACGCATGGATTTTGCGAAGCGATCCTCAAGCGTCAGCCAAATCGTGCGCGCGTCTTTGAGGTCGTTTATCGTATGTTTGATGTCGTGCGCGAGGCTGCTCCTCAGCAGTCCACACGCGGCGAAGTTTGCGTTCTGCCATTCGCCATACAAGGGGTCATCTTCAGCGGGTCGAGCGATGGTTCCCTTGACGATTCCATAGACCTTGGCCCCCTTTTGCATAAGGATGTCGATGCATTCTTCCTTCCAGCGGTAGAAGTCCTTTGCCTGTGCGAGGCGCGGGAGTCGCTGTCTGGACTGGGGAGTAGGCTCTGCGGACATTGTCGCTAGCGCTGAATTGAGAATTCGTGCACTAATCTGCGGAGTTGTGGGTTGGTTGCCGACCTCGCTAGTCTCTTCAGCGGTCGAATCGTCAGGTTGGCTTCGTGATCTTGTGTTCGGGTAGTTCGAGCTCAGGTTTCCGTTAGCGTTTGGGCTCATAACCTATTGAGCTTAGGAAATCTGTGAAGCTTCGTGTGCAACAGTGTCAGCGTGTCGACACTCGAGTGTGACTCACAAGATCAGTGCACGCGTTGTTAGACGCGGTCACTGCGGCACGCAGGTTGCGATCCTGTGTAACGTCGGTGAGATCTAGGTGGCCCTGATCAGTGAGACGCAGTTGTTATTCCAGCGTCTCAGTGATCTGGAACAGCCACTCGTGCCAGGGGCGGCAGAGGTTGGAAGCGTGAGCTCGAGTCGTTGTCGAACCAAAAGATTTGTGCACGCGTTGTCGTACAAGGCGGCGCGTGTCACGTCGAGGGTGCAAGGAGTGGGAGTCTTGCGTGAGCGTTTGTGAGCGGGGACTCGCACTTTTCGTACGGTGAGTAAGGTAGTGATTCGATGATATTTCGTTGGGTGAGTGCCGGAACGCTTTTGCTTATATACATGATTGGTGTCTAGGGAGCGAGTGTCGTGAGCGACTAAGACACCGGCTTGCTTGCTGTAAGCTTCGCTGTACGCGCCCAGCTTGTTCGCTATGGCCGCCAATGTGTCGTTGGGTGGCTGGCCAAATTAGCGAACGTGATCTCGTATCACCCAATGAATGCAAAGATTCGTCCACGAATGTTTGCCCGCGCGTGCTCGTTGCTCCCCGGGTCGCTGTATCTGCACCGGAGCGACCTGGTCCGCGCGCTAGTTGCTGCGCGTGGATTCCGAGTTGCGCGCACGTTACCTCTATTGCTGTTGTGGTTGGTCGGTTGGGTCGTATCTTCGGCGTTCGATGTTGAGTGGTGGCCGTTGTTTGCATATGAGGAGAAATGGGGTGGTGGTTCTGGTCGCGCGTGGATTTTGCGCGGGGAGTTTGCCGAGGAGAGTCTAAAATTCAGGGCGCGACCCTGCGCCCTCGAATAAGGTTGCCGGTCCACGGGTTTGCCGGCTAATTCCAAGGTTTTGTGAGGAACCCTAGAACGCGTGCACGCGTTCTGCTGGTCGTGGGCTAAAGTGCCCGAAGTGCGAGATGTCTGCTAAACGACTTGCGTCGTCCAACACTTCGGACCGACGGACAGCCGGAGCCGCCCACCGTTTGGCAGGAAGGAATCGCCCGTCGCCACGGACCGATGCGCTGCCGCCTAGGGCTAGGAGAAGAACCTTAAAAAAAAGCGAACCCAATTTACAACCTTAAGCTTGGTGCAATGGTCCCTTTGTTTTTACATGGCAAGATAGCCATGCTTCTGAGCTTTCGAACTATATCACACAAAGGTTACTTTCAGTGCGGAACAAAGGGACTAGAGCTGATGCAGTAAGGCATGGTCAGAGATCATGGTGATAAAATTGAGATATGGGGCAATTTTGGACGCGACTGTATGATTCCACTTGTTAAATCCTTAGTCTTAGGGTATTCCTACAACCAGCGTGCAGGCGATTTATGCCATTCCTTTTGGCAGTCTTGTAGCGGCAAGGAAAAGTTTCGAGAGTCACAGTCGCAGATCAGATATACGTTATTGACGTGACTGACAGGAGTCTGACGTTGAAGTGACAGAGTCAGTACCGCGTCTGAAATCGTTTTCGCGTGCTCGGGTGGGACGAATGAAGCCCGGCTGAGGTTAGCTTGAGTCAAGCCCAGCTAGTACCTGATGAACGCATCCTTGCCTACACCGTGGTGTGCCTCGGCAGACATTCTCAACAACTGATTCTCCGAAGCCGTGAAGATGCTCTCAACACGAAAGACATCGGCCAACGTATACAGTAGCCGATGGTTGATGGTGATAGTCACGCTCGTGCACCCGATCATGCTGTTGCTTGAGCAGCGATGGAAGCTTGGTTCGTGGTCAGTTGCTGCTTGGAGCTGAAGATCGCAGCGGTCGGATGTCGATCTTGTCGTCGGCGCTCTTGTTGCTACACCTGTTCGGGAATGCGAACGTGGCCCGACGGAACTCAAGTGCCTATCGAGCGATCGATGCCTGTTGTTGACTGCGGTTGACTGGCGACCGCAGCACAGGCCGACTTGACAAGATACAGTTCAACCGCCAGCTTTGCCCTTGGCGCGGATCACATGGAATGAAAGAACGAGCGATTTGTTCCATCAATGATCGATTGCATGAGAAAGCGCGAGCTAGATCCACGTGAAAGGTAGATGAGGAGGAGATGACGGGGAGATGGACGCCAATCAGACGCAGACGAACGAGTAGAGAGCCAGGGCGAATCCAGAAAAGGCGGCGACGACGCGGACGTTGTGCAGGCGAGTCCAGTGTGAGAGGAGGGCCTCGGCCTGGCTTGCATTGATGGCCTCCTTGTTGTTTGCGGCGACGCGGAGTGCCATGAGCTTGTTGTTCGTCGGGCGGATGAAGACCAGGGTGAAGACGAGAAGGCTGCCGGTCAGCGCTGCCGATCCGAGCAGCAGCTTTTTGCGGGTCTCCCATCGGACAGCGAGGCGTTGCGGAAGCGATGACGAAGCCTTGCCACCGCGTCCGGACTGCAGGGCAAAGGTGGTGAGAGCGATGGCGGTGACGAGCGAGAGCGCAGGCACGACGAATCCAGCCTTGAAAGCGCGTTCCCACAGCGTGAGTCGCTGAGCGATGCTAAGATTGGCCACCCATGGCGCGGGCGGCGAGATCATAGCACCCTGCTGGTCGATAAAGTGCGTGTTGATGAGGAGCGGGTAGGCGAGCGTCAAGCCTGCAGTCAATTTAGAAACGAGAGTCGGGTTGCCAGACGGAACAGGGTGTCAGTCGGTTCTGTGGTTGGTCTGGGCTGTGCGGATCTCTTCTCTTCGATAAACTCACCACTAGCGAGGCCTGAACAGGTCAGCCCGACGAGCGCGGTCACGGGAGCGAGCATGGTTGCAGTATAGGTTGGGGCTAAAAGATGGAGAAGGCGTGGTTGCGAGAGATGGAATGAGGCGTTGATGGGGGAATCGTCTCTTCGGTTCGCATCGATGCTCCTCTATATATCCTGAGCTGCCATCGCTTCCGACTCGTGGACCCTCGAAACGGGTGCCACTGGCTACGCTCAAATGACTCGCGACGATCCGAGATGCGGCACGCGAGCTTTCCTCCCTTCCGCCGGACCTGCAGGGTGCCTTGCTCGTAGAACACGTTGCATCTTCGACGACTGCGCCGACTGCGCGCGAAAATGAAGAGACCGAGCTTTCCGCGCGCACGTCCCACCAACGCTCGTACAGCACGGCACTTCACCAGTCAGCGAGGATTCACAATCGCGGCTCGGAAAATGCCAACCTCAACAAAGTTGCTTTTGTTTGCCGCGGACCGCGGATAGCAAGTCGCCCGCCATCGATGCCCGCGGCAGCGGTCACTTTGGCACCGCGGCCGCCGTCACTTTCGCAGGAGCACCTCGCCGCAGACCATGACAAAGGTGCCGTCCGGAGTCGCACTCCAAGTGAGCCAGTCCTGCTGCATACGTCGGATCTGGTCCTGGTCTACTTTGGCCGTGGAAAGCGCCTGTTGCTGCCATGACTCGGCTGCAATCCGCTCGGCCCACATTTTACCCCAGAACTCGGCGTGTGGCTGTCCTCCGAACGCCTGGTTGCTTGAGGAGAAGGTGATGTGTTCGGGGCCGGCTTCGTATCCGGCATCCAACGCCCAGCGCACCAGTCGACGACCCGCGTCGGGTTCCGAGCCGATGGAGCGGTAAATGGCTGCAGCCGTCGACAGCCACAGATCAAAGGTCTCGGTCGACGGATACAAGACCGAGGTGGTAAAGTCGGCTTCGCGTGCAGCCACGATGCCGCCTCGCTTGCACACCCTCCGCATCTCCTTGAGCGCATCGACGGGCTTGGGCAGATGGAGCAGCATCTGATGACAGTAGACCACGTCGAATGACTCGTCCGCGAACGGCAGCTCGAATACGGACGCCACCTCGAATCGGCATCGATCCACCGCCTGGCGCTGCGCCTCGCTGTTGGACTCTTTCCGCAGGCGGTCGAGTCGCTTTTGCGCTTCTGCTACCACATCCTCCGAATAGTCGGTGCCAACAATGCTTCCTTCGGGCACGTAGGCGGCGAGCGACGTCGTGATCGTTCCCGGTCCGCATCCGACGTCCAAGATCTTGGCATCGCGCTTGAGGTGCGGCAGCAGGAACGCCGCCGATGATTCGGCTGTACGCGAAGCGTGCGATCGCAGCACCGCTTCGCTGTAGCCCTGAGTGTAGCTGTTGTTGTGCGTGCTCATCGTTTCAGCGCAGCAAAATTGAACAAGCAAGATGGTGGTGATCCGTGCGACGGCAGCTTCTGTGGGTCGCGCTCTCGGCTCGGACATCCGACGGCCGATTTGCCCGAGGCAGCTCAGGGTCGGCTCAGCTTTTTTTTCCTTGACATGCTCTTCGCGTAGAAACGGCTTGGCCACGCCTCTAAGACGAGCACTGCAGAGCTCGTGCACATTCGTATGCACTCCAGACAAGCCTCAAATAATCCTCTCAGCCACGCTCGAGTTGCAAGAAAAGGCGGTTGCAACGAAAGTCGATTGATGCAGTTCAGACCAAACATTGCCCGATGCAATATATTGAACGGTGGGTATCAGAGGGTGGGTGGTGAGGCAAACTCACTCGAGCACGGGTTGGTATTCCGCTGATGCGCTTGGCCTGCAAGGCAATCAGCAAAGTGCCGATGGCGCAGCCCGTAAGGAAGTCGGCAACGGCAGACCCGAGGCAAGGGCGCCGGTTTCGTTCGACGAAGCTTGACGTTCGCGTCCCATCGTCACCGTCTTTGGCAGCCGTTGAGGGACTCGACTTCGCTGGCTGCCTGACGCGGGCCGAGGCAATCCCGAAGCCTGTCCCTGGGAACGCAGCGAGCTTGTGCTTGCCACACTGCGCAGACTCGGCAGCTTGGACGGCGTGATCCCGCCCACACTGCGAATCGCTTTCGACGGGGTGATGTGCTGCCCGTCGCTGTATCTGGCTCGCCTCGCGACATCCTGGCTCGCCAGGCCATCCTTGCGTACAGCAGCGCTGGAAGCTTGGTTCACGTCCTGTTCTGCTCGGAAGGCAGCTCCTCGCAGACTTGCAGCGCTTTGGTATCTTCGGATCCCTGCTCCGGGCCCTTTCGAAGCGATTTCGCCCTTCTCGATTCGCGAGACGGGGTTTAGGGAGGTCGCCGAGGCAGCGTTCAGCGGCCACGAAGGGCGTGGGGTTGGCTTGGGCACGACGGCACGCTCCCTCGCAGTCGGAATGCCGCTACTCTTCCTGCGCAGCATCGGCTGAGCGGATGGCGTGGTGCTGGTTGTCGTCTCAATCTTGGCAGCGCTGGGAAGCTCACCGAGCTGAGCAGCTTTTCTTACTGACGCTGCATCCGTGGTCACAGATTTGGCAGGCTTCGACGTGGCCTCCTTGACGCTCCCGACCGATTCTCGGGTCGACACGGATTGCATGCGAGCGGGCGCATCGACCGAGCTGCGATAAGACCAAGTCGTGGCTGACGATGTGGTGCTCAGGCGGTCGGCGTGGAAGCTGGTCCAGATCTCCGACCCGGCCATGGTATCTGGGGTATCTTGCAAAGCTGTTGACGTCGATGCGTCCTCGACTGGACTCTCCGCATCCCCGTCACAGCCCGTGCGAAGTACAATCCCTTCGCCAGTCGCGACATCAGCAGGCTCTGCCACAGCTTCCCGTTCTGGCTGCCTCTTGAAGAGCATAATCGGTGGGTGGATGCCTTGCTTCCTCAACGACATGCGTCGTCGAATGGTCTCGGCAGCAGCCTGGTTCGGTCTCTGCGGATCATGTCCGCTCGTTCCACCCGAGTCGCTGATCGTCGTGTCGTGACCAGAGCTATGTCCGATCGAGTGACCGGTGGAGGACAAGATCTCGTCGGCCTCTTGAATGATTTCGATCACGCTGCTCATAGAGCTGCTTCGTGAGCGACAAGATTCCGGCGGTGCGACCTGTGCCCCGCAACTCGTCTCCGAAGCGAGGCTGCCGCTGTTCTGACGTGCGAGTGCCTTGTTCTGCGCCTTCAAAGGAGTCGAAAAGCGCGGCGTGACAGCCTCGCCGACATGCAGATCAAATTCGTCATCCACCATGGCGTGGCGCGAAATCTCTGCCTGGTCCCATTCGAGATCTTCGGTCAGAAGCACTTCCTCTTCATCACTCGGCGGGGCGATGAGATCAGGGCTCGATGATCTTAGCAGCCTCCTGGAACTCGAGACCGACTTGGTGCTGGCCGGTGATACACGGCTGCCGTCCTTCAAGGGCAATGTGGCGGAATCGCGGCCCGCGATGCCGGCATTGAAGGCTCCTCGGGGCTTGTTCGCCAGTACAGACAGCGAGGATCGAGCTTGCATGGGCTTTCCTCGCTGCACCGGCGAATTGACGCCAACGTTGTCGCAGTCATCGTCGGAGTCATCCGAGCTGTGCCATGCAGCAGCACGAGAGGCTTGCTGGGCGCGGATGCGATCCAGGGCTGCCGAGATGCGTTTCGACCTTGCAGGGATGGAGGCAATTGGACGAGACGAGGCATCGGGCGTAACGCCTGACGATCGAGTCTCGGAGGCGTCCACACGCAGCTTCCGCTTGGATCCTCGAGATGCGTCGAGGACGCCTGAGCGCTCTGCCAGATCTTCCAAGCTGGCGTCGACATCCAAATCGGACTCTTCGTCGCTGCCGGCGTCGATGACCGTGACTTGGCCCTCGCTCGCGACGACAGCGCTCTCTCTTCTGGTACGGCCAGGTGCTGAAGGCGAGAGGCGAGGAGCTCGGATTTGCGAAGGCCAGAGGCCGGGTTTGTCCAGCTCGGCGTCAAGATCGTGCATGCTGAGCAACGAGGCGGAACTCTTGCGTCGACGCATCGGCGCGTCGATGCCCAACAAGTCGAGATGAGAGCTTGATCGTTGAGCCGCAGCTGAACCGGGAGACGGTGAGCCGAATTCGACGTCAGAGTGCTCGACTGCATCATGGACTGCCATTGTTGATGCCGGCAGAGGCATCACCGCCGTTGTGGGCGTGGACTGCGGCGAAGTCTGCATCGAGAACTCGACGTATTTCTTAGCCTGGCCGTGGCTCGAAGAAGGCTGTCTGGAAAGCGACGAGGTTGTGAAAGCGTAGGAGGAGGCTGCGTCATCGGGACCGACGGCCTCGTCGGCACCGACTGCCACAGGCCACTTGGAGCCGTACTCGCCAACACTCGGCGCGATGGAATCGGTGTAGCCCAGCGTAGTGGTCGAAGACCGTCTTTCCATTGTGCTGCCGTATGCTTGGCTGCTTGCGATGGATTTCGACGAGAAGGAGCGAGAGAGTTGGACGGGAGTGCTGGAAGGATCGACGAGCGACAAGGCATGATCGTGGATGGCGAATGGTCGATAGCTCATCGCAGCAAATTGATCCGACATTTGCTCTCTGGCGCGATGGGCAGCATCGATTTGGCGCTGCTTGGCCTCGGCGGAGGCACGAATCTGCCGCATGGACACGGGGCCTGTGGCTGTGCTGGCAAGGGTGCTGAGCGATGCTATGGAGGGCTGACGCGAGCGCATGCGCTCGGAAGCGCGAGCCACGATGCTGGACCATGTACCCCTGCCGGTCAAGTCGCGGGGTGAAAGTCCCGTGGGCATAAAGGGTGGTAGGCTCGGTGAGAACTCGTAGAAGGCATAGGGGTCCAGACCCTGAGAAGGAGTATCGACGGCTGTGGATGAGACGCTGTGTTCGTTGGTGGGAGCGGTTGTTGTGCGTGAGTTGTAAGCGGCCCTGGAAGGGTCGGCAACCGGGCGAGTGACAGTGAGGGAGCGATTTCGTAAAGAGGCTCGCTGTTCATCAAAGCCAAGATGCTTCTTTCTCGAGGACTTGTTGCGCTTGCGAGGCACTTCGTCGAGTTCGGACGAGCTCCCTCCTTCGAGCTCCGAGTCAGAGATCTCGTCACCTTGAGGATCCTCGATGCGGACGGTGGGAGCGGTGAAGCGAGATGCAAAAGTGGCTGCAGAATCGCGATAAGCGTTGTAGATGGATTGGAACTCGGCCACGCTTGCGTTGTCATGGACGGTATCGCTGCTTCGGCGATAGGAGCCGACGCTCTTGGTACTGATTGAACGAGTCAAGGACGATTCTGCGGTCTGCGGACCGCGCGAATCGTCGAGAGATTCATCCTGAGAGCCGGACGAACTCAGTGAAGGCAGCGAGTCGGACGTGGGGAGGATGCTGGGCTCTTCGGGACCGTTGTGTTGGAGATCACTGCCGTCGGTGTGGTTGGATTCCGAAGCATGGCGAGGACTCGATGACGAAGATGGCTGGGCCGAGTTGTCTTGACTGGGGTGCGACCGGCGAGGCCGTTGTTGCCTGCACCCGTCCGCTTCGAGTTCGAGTGCGACCATGAGCTCGCTCAAGCTTTTGGACATGGTGCCCGTGCGTTTGTGGCGCGATGACGAGGGGCTGGTGTCGTGGTGCGGCTGTGAACTCGGGGCGGCGTTGGAATCCGACAGATATTCGAGCTGCTCTGATGCGGGGGAGGAAGCCGCGGCTCGTGGCGAGATGGAACGAGGGCCAAGGCCTACTCGAGCAACGCCAACAGGTAGGTGCGGATGCTTTGCAGTTAGCAATCCTCTGTGCTCGGTGATGTTGAGCACGTCAGAGAGGGCGCTGTCGGTGCTACTCTCGCCTTGGACACCGAACTGCTTGTCTCGGCGTGCGAGAGGAGTATCGAAGGGCAAGTCCTGCCAGGTAGGCTGCGACGGACTGAGGGCACTGTGCAGCGAGTGGTGCGGAAGTGTGGCCGTGGGATGGCCAGGGGAAGGAAAGTGGTTGGAGATGTTGCGGATACTATCGAGCTCTTCGTCCGAAACGTCGGAGGAGTCGGTGCGATCAGTCGAGACCGAGGCGTCGAGGGTCAAGTCGGCGCTCTTGCAGCTGGAGGATGCGCTAGTGGACGAGCGCCGAGAGATGACGGTGGCTGCCGAGAGGCGGCTGGATCTGCGGGAGGAAAGAGAGTGCGAGTCGTGCGATGAGAGCGTGGGTCTTGGGGGCAGCGGCATGGTGGGAGGTGGGCCCAGGGGCGTGTTGCGACCGGAAGAGGTGGAAGCTGAAGCGAAGGCATCCTTGACGGAGGAACGGGGGTTGCGATGGAGGGACGAGACGCTTGTGCGAGCGCTCGTGCCGCGTCCCAAAGGCAGGGCGGCCCTCGCGGTGAGGGTGTCTTGCTGGACGGGATAGAGAGAGCCGGAATCGCGGGAGATGATGTTGGAGGAGCGCGCAGCGGACGAAGCGGTGCTCTTTACGAAGACGGTGCTGGGCGGAAGCGGCAAGGCCTCGAGGTAGTGGCCGAGGACGGTGCTGTCGGCGTCGTCGTCTTCGTTGTCGTCATGGGATTGGCGGGAAGCGACGGGCTCGGAAGGGTTGGCTGGGATGTTGGGCCCGGGCAAGTGGTCAGGGTCGTCGACTCCAAACCAGGTGAGGCGGTTGGGTTCGACGTCGATTTGCGCCGAGAGCGTGAATTGGGATGCCGACAAGAGTTGCTCCTTCTTCTTCTGACGTAGAGCGAGCACCTTCTGACGCAGATCGTTGGCGTCTGTGGCGGTATCCATGGCGTCGTTCTGCCGTGTTGGCGGAGTGACGGTGTGAGCTTCAGCCGGAGGATGCGACATGGCCCATTTTGGACGAGGGTGGATGTCGAGGGAGGGGTGCGTACGAGGTGGCAAGGATGGCGTAGAGCAGGTGGGCGGCGCGGGACACGATGCGCTTTGTGGGTGGCTAGACGTGCGGCGACGACGGAGTCATGGAAGGACGAGGAGCGGGGCCAAGGTGAATCGAGGGTGTGTGGCTGATTGGTGGATGGAGGATAGCTGTATGAAGATGCAGCCACATGCAAGCGCTGCAAAGAACAAGGGCGAGGTTGTTGAGATTAGGGAGGGTGGAGGTCGAGACGGCGCCAGGGGCGTTCGTGGGGCCGTCAACGTTTGCGCAAGGCAGAAGGTGACAATGGCGAGCAGAAGCCGTAGAGAAGAGGAGAAGCGGATGAAGGTGGGAGGATGACGGCGGGAGGGAGGCTAGGATGGAGTGAGGACAGTGGCTGTTGAGGCGGACAATCATGCCAAAGCAGAGGCAGGTAAGTTGGTCAACTTAGGGATGAGCGACCCACCTGCAGCATGCAAGCTGTGCAGCGCGCGCGTACAACTGTGTATGCAGCGAGGAAGAGGCAGCGGCAGGCGGCAGGGTTCGGGTAAGGCGGGCTCGGGCAGCTGATTGCGCAACCCTGTTCGATTCGAGAGCGGAATCTACATTTCAGGACGAGCGGGGGCTAGAGCAGAGTTCTAGCCTTGTCAGGGGGACACGACACGATGCGACCTCGGCGGCAAAGGGTTGGCCGAGCCTTTGTCGCTGGTGAGCATCATGACTGCAAAGGCATCGTGGGATTTCGAGGCCGAGACCGAGCGGGCGTACTGTAGCACACGGACGAGCGGCTTGGCTTCCGACTGGGTATGCAGGCGAGCTAGCCGAACCCGACGCATTCACGCTAGGCACGCGTTTTTTTGGTTCTTTGAATGGCTCGGCCACAGCTGTGTATGCTGTCTACGGATGGCTGATCGCAGCTGCCACAGTAGAACATGGTAACCTCCGGGGCTAAGTTAGCAGAATCGCCGTGCTGTCCGAGCGGGATGAGTCTGTGAGCCAACGGACGCGCAAACGACAAGTCGACGCGACTTGGACGTGTCAATTCAAGCCGTCAGCAGTCGAAGGATCTGCGACATGCCAGTGCTGGGTGCCACAGAGCCACGGAGCCAGAGGGCCACAGGGTTCGCATGAAACCCCGTGTGAGTACCGACGAGCGGAAGCCTGCGTCTTTATTTTTTCTTTTCTGTTTCGGACGTTTGACCCACACACTCGCCAGACGCTGCTGCAGCCCACCCGTGTCCGACATATTCAGCCACGTCCTGAAACCTGCAGGCAAATTCACGCCGCGCTCGCCTCGCTCGCCCCGCTCGCCTCGCCCACATTGCTCGCCTCTTGCATCGTCCGAGACCAACATTGCCTTGCACATGGCAGAGCAGAGCACGTCCGCGTCCTCACGACACGTCGCCAGAACGCTCCGCAACGCCTGGCGGCTGTCACTGCTGCGATTTGAGGCGCATTCCGATGTGTGCAGCAGGCTCGAAGTACCGAGCTTATGCGTGTGCGCCAGCATGCCAGGGCTTTTGATGGCTTGCAGCCTCGAGGGCCTCGCAAGCGGTCCTTCTCGGGACGCGGATAGAGTGGGCCGCCTGCCATCGTCTCGACCCGGAATGCAATTGCAAAGGGGGGCCTTCGGCAAGACCCTGAAATTTTCCCAGCCTAAGCGACAGCCGCGAAGGATCGAACGCTGGGGAAATTTCAATGCTGTTAGACCTAAGCTCTGGATTGGGACGAGCGTCGCTCAACAAAGCACCGACGAGTCATCCGCCTATCTTTTGAGCAAAAAAATGGAAGAAGCAGCTGCACGGCCAATTTCGCACTCGGCCGCTTGGGCCATCCCGCTCATCAGTGGGCTCGCGCTCGGCTCGCAGGATCTTGAAGATACACTCGCTTGCCTCCAACCACTTCATACGACCTCCAACCGACTGCCGCATCCCTTCTTGTAGGCACTCCGCAAATCCGTCGCCATGGCTTCCACTTCCGATGACTTTACCAAGCGCAAGCTTTGGGGCGGCCGCTTCACCGGCAAGAATGACCCGCTCCTCTTCGCCTACAACGAGTCGCTCTCCTACGACAAGCGCATGCATGCGCAGGACATCCGCGGATCCCAGGCCTATGCCCGTGCTCTCGTCAAGACCGGCGTCCTCAACGAGCAGGAGAGGGACGAGATCGTAGCAGGCCTCGAAAAGGTCGGCCAAGAGTGGAAGAACGGCACCTTCGCCATCCACCCGGACGACGAGGACATCCACACCGCCAACGAGCGTCGCCTCACCGAGCTCATCGGCAGCGTCGGCGGCAAGCTCCACACAGGCAGGTCCAGGAACGACCAGGTCGCCACCGACATGCGTCTCTGGCTCATCGACGAAGTCAAGGCCATCGAGGGCTACCTCTCTGACCTCATCCAAGTCATGATCGCCCGCGCCCGCGAGGAGGTCGATGCTCTCATGCCCGGATACACCCACCTCCAACGTGCACAGCCCATCCGCTGGTCCCACCTCCTCCTCTCCCACGCCACCTACTTTGCCTCGGATCTTGCCCGCCTGCGCGACCTCCAGCCCCGCATCTCGGTCCTTCCTCTCGGCTCCGGACCTCTCGCCGGCAACCCGTTCGCAGGCCTCGACCGCGACGCCATCGCCGCCGACCTCGGCTTCCAGACCGTGGGTCCCAACTCGATGAACAGCGTCTCGGACCGAGACTTTGTCGTCGAATACCTCATGTGGGCCAGCTTGACCGCCGTGCACCTCAGCAAGATGGCCGAAGACTTTATCATCTACTCGACCTCCGAATTCGGCTTCATGCAGCTCAGCGACGCCTACAGCACCGGCTCCTCCATCATGCCCCAGAAGAAGAACCCGGACAGCCTCGAGCTGCTCCGCGGCAAGGCCGGCCGCATCTTTGGCCAGATGTCCGGCTTCATGATGTCGCTCAAGGGCATCCCCTCCACGTACAACAAGGATCTGCAGGAGGACAAGGAGCCGCTCTTTGACGCCGTCGACACCACCAAGGATGGTCTGCAGATTGCCACCGGCGTCATCTCCACCCTCAACATCTTCCCCGAAAAGATGAAGGCGGCGCTCACCCCGGACATGCTCGCCACCGACCTGGCCGAGTACCTGGTGAGGAAGGGCATCCCCTTCCGAGAGACGCACCATATCTCGGGAAGCGCCGTGCGACTGTCGGAGCAGAAGGGCTGCTTGCTCTCGGAGCTCACTCTCGACGACCTCAAATCGCTCTCGGACAAGTTTGGCGACGACGTGATGCAGGTGTGGTCGTTTGAGCAGAGTGTCGAGCGCCGCGACGCAAAGGGCGGCACCTCCAAGCGCGCCGTTCTCGAGCAGTGCGACACGCTCCAAAAGATGCTCTCCTCGGCCACGGCCTGATTGCACCTCCATAAAAGCCAGCCCGATTTTCACAACCAGTGCTCAGACCTTGTGCGCAATCATCGTAATCATAAACCCATGTCGTGAATGATTTCGTCTTGTGCATAATGATGGTCCATCAGTCGGTAGAATGCAAGAGCGGATCGAGGTCTTCGCGACGACGTGCGCCAGCGCCAGTGCGTCGGCCGTTGGGCTTGCCGTCCGAAGCTGAGGAGGCAACCAAGGCGGCACGACCGCCCTTGAGGATGCGGTAGGTCTTGTTGCGCCACGAGACCGTGCTTCCCAGGATGGCCCACGCCCAGATGGGAAGCGCGAGCGATTCGCGCAGCGCCCAGGCGGCGCCGAATTCGACCACGCTCATCGTGTCGGCGCTGTCCACGCCCGGATTGCACGCCAAGAATTCGTGGGCCACCGAGAGTCGCTTGAAGACGGCAAAGTCGACGGCAAACCAGGCGCCGAAATGAAGGCAAAAGAAGAGCAGGCACGACCATCCGGAAGCCGATACCGAAGGGTCAGCCAGCATGGGTAGAACGAGCGAAGACAGTGCGAACCAGCCGATGAAGCCCGAGAGGAGGGATTCGGTGAGGGGCTCGAGCAAGGTAGGTGCCAGGACCATGTACTTGCGCACACGAATCCAGCGCATGCGGCGGCGCGTATAATCGGCGAGCGTACGGATGTCGCCTACCGAAGTGTAGGCCAGGTCGGACGCGGACAGCGTGTGCGAGAGGTCGAGCGGTGCATTCCACAACGACTGCGCAAGCATATTGTCTTCGGCGAGGTAGATGGAGAAACGTGCGAGTGGGCGCGAGAGAGTCTTGAGCTGTTCGTTTGGCATCTCTTGCGGCGCTTTGGACGCAGGTGCCGACGTATCCGCAGTGGCTGGATCGGACTGGTGGGAAAAGGCAAAGCTTCCGATCGCATTGGATTCGCCCTGGCTGCCGTGCTGGGAGACATTGAAGAAGGAATCGGGTACGCAAGCCAGGTCGGATTTGCGATACATGTTGCTCTTGCCCATGACGCACGAATCGATGGTGAGAGCGTTGAGAGCGAGGTACATCTTTGCGTGGGTGGTTGACAGAAAGACCCTCTCGATCTTGGAGCCCCACGAGGTGCTAGGGAGGACGGCAAAGGGGACGTGGTGGACGAGGCCGACGCGCTGGCCGTGGGGCTTGCGAGGCAGCCAGCTGGGCGATGGGCGCGGTCGTTCGGCAGGCTCGAGCAGGAGCTGATCGACAGCACGTGCGAGAGCGCCTGTGGGCGTCCATACCTGGCTGTCGACGACCCAGATGATGTCGTACTTGGAGGCGGCGTAGGAGCGGACGAGGTTGTTGATCTTTGGATTCACTCCGGCGAGATGGTCGCCGACGATGATGCGGGCGTCGACGCGCGGATGAGCGGCCATGACCATGCGTGCGACGTTGAGCACCTTTGCAGCCTCTGGCGTGGACGCCGCGTCTCGAATGGAGAGGATGATCTCGAAGCGGGAAATGGGGTAGTCCTGCACGAACGACGAGGCGAGGTTGGAGTAGAGATTGCAGTCGAGCCCGCTAAGCGGACGCAGGATCGAAACACCGGGCACGCATTCGGCATGGTCATCGTCATTTTGCTGTTGGCGGCGCTGGAGAGAGTCGAAGCTGCGTGAATTCTCGGATTCGTTGGTGAGCAGGGTCGAGGTCCTGGGTGGAGAGAGCGGAGATCTGGGTGATTCGGGCCGTGCAAACTGACGCGCAAGGCTGAGACCAAGCAAGCAGATGCTCCAGATTATGATGTACCAAGCTAGCGCGACCCAAGATAGGATGCGGACGATGGTGGCGGGTTCCTCCGAGGCGGCGAGGCCTGCCATACCGGTAGGTGTAGTGAGCGCCATGGGCCTTGCGGAGGCGACTCTCGCTCGAAGGATGCGTCCGAGCCTCGTCTATCCAGCTTTTGCAGCCTCAGTGAGAGGACATGGCGTACTGCGAGGAACTGTCGTTGCCGTTGCGAGGTGGTGGCGTGTGAGAAGAAAGGTCGAAGCCTGTGCGCGCGGAAGGTCTGTTCGGTGGGAGAAGCGGTGCGAGGGTGGTTTGGTCGGTGTTGGTCTTTTCGCGAAATTCCCAAGCTGTTAGACTGTGGAAGCCCGATTTGGGAGGGGTCCGCGTCGAGTTGGGAATGTTGGGCCAGCAAGGCTCAAGGCAGAGGGGCGAGCAAGGCGCGTGCGCGTGGATTTGGATTCACGATTTGGCAGCGCGGCGGCGGCTGTGGTCGACAGGGTCTCGGTGACACCAACACCTGCCAACTGCAGCAAAGCGCCCATCGTCCCAACCCCTTTCATCTTGCAACACAATCGCCATCTCGACGCAATGCGTGCCTCTCTTCTCCACTGCTGACACCTCTGGAAGAACTGCACACATCATCATGTCCAGCGCAATGCCGTCTCGGGAACGATACGCCTCCAGTGCGCAGGATGCCGCCTCGCCACGCGTTCCGTTCCCGAGCTCGCCCGCATCTCGGCGCGCAGGTCACGTTCGCTCGGCTTCCATCCTCAGCTCATCCAGCAGCGTCTCCATCCCCTCTCGCTCATCCTCGGTCATCATGAGCCCAGCCGCTGTCCCCGCTCGCAGCTCATCCATCGCCAACTCGCCGAGCAAGAGTCGAACTCTCCACGACGCGCGAACCGGCCTTCCTCTCACCGCCTCCGATCTTGCCGATACCATCGCCGGCCTCACTCTGGCCGAAGCGCCTACACTTGACGCATCCTCAAGCCGCCCAGACCCTCTTGAGACGAATGCACAGCTTGATACTAGCTTTGACGTCCGCACACCTCAACCACTGTCGGCTCCCTTTGCTCCGCCCGTCTTCAAATCGACCCCTCCGCACAGCGCCGACTCCGACAGGAATGCTCTGCTCTCTCCACCCCTTCCCGACCTTGGCGACCGTCAAGCTGAGATCATGGAGATCGGCGATGAGATCAACGATGCACACGATGCCATTCAGCTCCTTCAGGCTGACATCTTCTCCATCCAAGAGCAAAGGCACGGTTCCCGTACAAACCAACAGGCCCCCAGCCTTGTCCCAGACGTATCGGATCCGTCGACTGCACCACAGACCCCACCCAACGGCGCGCTTCCTGCCGGCGTCGACCTCTCATTGATGCAGCTCGACGAGAAGCTCGAATCGCTCTCACGCGTCATGCAGCAGCTCGAAGTCCGCCTCGCCAACCTCGTCGACCCTGCCTCGGATCTCGCAGATTCGGAGGCAGCAGACTCTTCCATCATCGACAATGATCTCATCAGCCACCAATCTCGAGCTCGTCGCACCAGCACCGCGAGCGACGATAGCCTCGGCTCCATCGACGACATCGCCTTCCCTGGCTTTGCTCCCGCTCTTACTCCACTCAGCCTGCGTGCAAAGTATGCCGACCTTTGCACAGAATGGGCCGCGGTTCAAGAGGACATCGATGGGCTCAAAAAGGAACTCGCAGACGACAGATACCTCGACGTCTTTCGATCCATCAGCACACAAGCCGAAGGCATGATGGACAGTCTCGACAAGGCCGTCTCCCTGTGCCACATTTTTGTCGAGCAGATCCAACAAGACCATGCCGCCGGTAGACTACAGCCAAGCAGTGCAATCTCGGACGAGCTCGATGCCGAATATGATGTTCAAGCAAAGCACGACCAACTCGTCGATCTGACAAAGACCTTCAACGTCAAGAAGGCCTACTACTTCCCTGCCTGCCAGCAGGTATTCCACAGCCTCGAGAAGGGCTGCAAGGAGAGGCAGACCTCCAACGGCACCATCCTGCGCCGTCTGTCTGATCTGCGCTCGCGATGGCGCGTCCTGCGCGATGCATTGGCAAAGACCGAACGCGACCTCAAACGCACCGACGCCCTCTTCCGTCGCGTCCGCTCCGACAGCAGCAGCTCCTCTGTCACCAACGACATCGCCAGTCCCGCCACGTCCACTTCAAGTCTCCCTCCGGTTGCTTCGAAGCTCCGCCCCAGCGCCTCAATGCAGACTGGCCTCGGTCTCGGCACACCCGCTCGCGCTACCGCCTCTCAGAAACGCATCTCGCCTGCTTCGTCGTCGTCTTCACGCGTTGCCAGCGGTCCCAGCCGCTTGTCTAGCAGCTCTTCTGTCGGCTCCAATCTGTCAAACACTCCGCCCGCGGCCGCTACGCCGCAACGCCTCAGGCGCATCTCGGCAACCGCCGAATCGCTCGGCCTCTACTCTAAGCCAGCCGCCACATCACCGCGCTCTGCTTTCTCCCGGCAACTCGACGTACCTGGTTCATCGCAGCGCACAGCGGCCGGCAAGTCAATCGGCGGTCCCACCTCGCCGTCAGCCTTTGACTCTCCCATCCGAAACCGAGCTACCTCCATGGCCAATGCGGCAACCGGAGCAGTGGAAAAGGGAGTCCTCGGAAGGTCGCCCGGCGCCAGGCCCATCTCCATGATCGGAGGTCGACCCGCCGTCGGCGGCGCTTCAGCCAGTCGCACTGCAGCCACGGGCACGCCTAGTCGACCGCCACCCTCGAGTTTCAAGCCCTCGTGGCATGATCTTGACGCTGCTGCCGGATCGAATCGGGCCCGTGCGCCGCAGTCTCAGTCCATGCCGCGCTCCCAGTCGCAAGTGCTGTGGCCATCCCAGTCGCAAGACTCTGGCAAGCAAGATGACGCTGACGAGTCCATCGAGTACCTCAAGTTTGGCGAGGGCTCGTCGCCGGCGCGTCCGGCGTCGTCAGCTGGCCAGTACTACCGTCCGCCTTCGGCACAAGGCAATGTAGGCGACGCCAGGTCGCGCAAGCGAGACTCGATGATCCCTCGGCTTTCTGTGCGCAACCCCGAGGGCGAATCAACGCCAAGCAGGCCAAGCTCAGCCATGTCGCAGAACTCGACATCCACGCCCATGCGGTATTCCGGCGCCTCGAGGCTCAGCATGCAGACGCCCGAACCGGCGATCGTGGCGAGGGCACAGAGGCTGAGCATGTATGCGCGAGCACCCTCCACAGGCATGGCCGGAATGAGCGGGGCACACACTCCCAGCAAGAGACCCAGCAAGCCACCGCCGACGCGGCGCAACGGCGCCCTGGCCTCTGGTCGAGCGACGCCGCTGTCCGCAGCCGCGCTTGCATCGCTTCCGTCGGCCGAACCGGGAGCATCTTTGAAGCGATCCAGTATCTCGAATCTGCGCTCGCTTCACAACGGTCGAACCACTCCCACGGCCAGCGAGAACGGATCGGTCGGAGGCCTTTCTGCTGGGACTTGGTACGGAGCGGGCAGAGGCGCCCGCGGTGTGTCTGTCGGAGCTGGCTCACGCATTGGATCTGGCTCTGTGGCGGGCAGCAGCTACGGAGCGACTGGCGCCATTGAGCTGTACCGAGCCAATCCGAACGACGCGCTGGACGTCGAGGTGGCGGCGATCTGCAATGGGTTGGGCGTGGCGCTCGACCGCATCGATCCGCCTTTGCCGCGAGGCGTGCGTCTGGAGGAAGGGCCGGGCAAGGACAACCGAGCCATGTACGAGATCGGCGGGCGCAAGATGGCGTGTCGACTGCTGGAACTGCATCGGCCGGCGGGCAGTGCAGGCGCGCGCGCGGGAAGCAAGGCCAAGAAGATCCTGGTGCGCGTGGGCGGTGGCTGGCAGGACCTCGAGCAGTGGCTCCTTGGTCGGCTGAGCTCAGCCTAGCAGATCCAAGCACGTGGCCGCGGTGTTGGCAGCAAGTGAGTCAGTGAATGCGGGAATCTCATAGATTACTGGGATTTTGGTGCGAGATCGTCTTCATTGTGAGTGAGGGAGATGGGATACAAGTACAAATGGAAGGCCAGCGGCAGATGAACGCAGAGAGAATTTAGGCAGAGGCGGGGGCGGAGGACGAGTCGAGGTTGTCGGCCGCCTGCTGGTGGATCTTGAGCTGGTCGATCTGGCTCTGGAGCGAGTTGAGGTCAACCCTGTCGAATCTCCTCTCGCGAGGAGTGCCGGCTGGAAGAGGGAAGGTAGTCTCGGGGTCGGCCGAGACGGCAATGTACCTGCGACGTTGCTTCTTGGACGAAGGGTGGGGTGTGGAGACAAGGGCGGTGGCGTTGAACGTGGTGGGGGAGAGCTTCTTGATCGGAAGCTTTACGCCCGATGGCGACGAGGCAGGTGCAGCCTGAGCCGAAGTCGACGGAGTCGGGTTGGAGTAGTAGAAGTGAACGTAGCCGGGAGCAGTAGCAAAGATGGTGTGGTCCTTGCCGATTGCCGTGTTGAGGCCCGGATGCCATGAAGTTCCGCGTTGCCTGAAGATGATCTGGCCCGGGTATACGAGTTGACCTGTAGTGACGAGCAGTATAAGCATAGTGCGAGATGTGTCAGTGGCGTCTCGTACAAATGTGCCAGGAGGTGAGGCAAGTCGAAGGGAGAGGGAACGTACCAGTCTGCTTCTTGTAACCGAGACGTTTACCGGGCGAGTTGCGGTTGTTCTTGGTCGAACCACCTCCACGCTTGGTGGAGTTACGGGTCTGGATCGAACCACCGAATGCAAAAGCCGGAAGGATGGTCGAAGAGGCGGCAACGCTTGTGGATGCGATGGCAAGCGAGGCGGGCGCCTGCGAGGTGGGAGCGCGAGCTGCGGCCGCAGCAGTGCGGCGAAGCAGGGAAGAGGTTCCGGTGAGGATCATGTTGGCGTGACCGGAAGCAAGACAAGTGCGACTGTCGAGCTTGAGACGAACGTGCGCGCGAGCAGCCGAGCCAGAGGGTGTTGATCTAGGTAGCAGAGGTTGGAGACGAAGGAGAGGATGCTCATCTGGCCCAGAACACGAAGCTGCTAGCCAGAGTCAGTGTCAGTGCTGCTTCTTCGCCTGCCAAAATCTGATCTCATCACGTGCAACGCCTCTGTCCCGGATCGCTGACAAAGGCACCTGTAAGCCGCGTTCTGTTGGAAGGGTGCAAAAAAAGTTGGAAATTTGGAAGGTCGCACCCGCCGAGAGCCGGGTGAGCGAGGGGCGCAGCGAACGAACGCCTTCGGAACGCGGCGGAAGTCTTTGAAATTTGGCAAATTTGCAGGCCAACAGCCCAGTCCCGATTTTGATGGAAAGCGGATGCACACCGGTGCCCCTTCCTTTTCAGGAATCTGCCAGAGCGCTCGTCATCCACTCGACTGACTCGCTCAGCGTTCTCCACCCCACACCGACCATCAACTCAGCTCACTGAAGCCGTCCACTCTACCTTCACCGCCACTACCTCCATAAGCACATCCACACTGGCCCTCGTCTCCGTGCAACTGCAAACCACACCGCATCCTCCTCCTTCTCGTCCTCTCCCTCCACCTCATCTTCATTCAACATGGTCTGGCCCTTCTCGTCCAACAAGTCCGCCGATGCTTCGGCCTCGTCCTCCACAGCACAGCCGTCTTTCGAGGCTGTAGCTCCGGCACCGGCGGACGCCACCGTGGCCCAGAACCCTACATCGGACAGCCCCACCGACTACCTTCGCAGCCACACCTTTGTCCACCCCTCGTCGCCATCACCGTCCACGTCTGGCTCGTCGGCCGAGTACGTCCCCAACGCAGCATCTCTCCTCGGCGACTCGTCGCTCAACCTCGGCGCGCTCTCCCCGCTCGCCGGCCTCGGCAAGGATGAGCTCGAATACCTCGATCTCACCGACGGCGCTCCCTCGAGCATGGAGGGCGCACGAACCGCCGTCCCCTCGCGTGGCTGGTCCGACGACCTCTGCTACGGTACTGGCACCACCTACCTCTCCGGACTTGCCATCGGTGGCCTGCTCGGTGCGCGCGAAGGCTTCTTCCGTCCGCTCGGCGTCGACAACCCCACCTTCCGTCTGCGTCTCAACGCCGTGCTCAACCAGGTCACGCGTCGTGGCTCCTTCTTTGGCAACTCGGCGGGCGTCGTCGCGCTCATCTACAACCTCGTCGATGCATCCATCGATGGCGTGCGCGGCAAGCACGACATTGCAGGCGCCGTCACGGCAGGCGCCATCTCGGGCGCTCTTTTCAAGTGCACCGCCGGCGTCCGTCCCATGGCCGTCGCTAGCGGTATCATGATGGCCGCCGCCGCTACCTGGACCACCGCAAAGCAGGCGCTCTTGTAATACGCCCCAATCACAGCCACATCCTCCAGTATTGGACACTTATACCTATCTTCAGTCTTTCCCAAAACGCAAAACGACACCGCTCTGCTCTCGTCCTTGCTCGCTCTAGAAGTGTCCCTTCGACTCACTCTCCCCGGCTCTCGCGCAATGTACACTACACCCGCATCGCTCATCTCATTCGACCACCATCTTGGTCTCGCAAGTCACGATGCATTCGTTCTCCACGGCAGACTGTGGGTTCTGGCGCAAAAAAATTGATTGGCTCGTGTGGCTTCAGGTGATGATTTTGTCAATGAGCGTTTGCAATGAGCGTTTGCCAGAATGCAGGGTCGAAATCTCGCTGGCCTGCGCCGGCCCCTTGGTGACCATCCAATCCCGGCGCCGAACCGTCAAAGGTGAGCAATGCCTGCGAGCCTTGTGCCTGCGAGCCTGAAGCTCCTGTCGGCGCCGACGAGCCAAATGCTGAGGCGGCGACTGCGCCAGGTGGCTGCAGGCCGCTGGAGCCCGAGACAGACTGTCCGGCGCCGTGTCGTTGCTCCTGCCATGAGCCATCCGTGTTGCTCGCCGGCTGACTTCTTGAAAGGAGATCTGCGAGCCGATCCGATGTCGCTGCGCTCGTCGTCGTCGCCGCATAACTTGGAGGTAGCCCGCCCGCTTGCGACATCCATTCGCTCATTCCGCCTCCGGTCGTCAGCCCCGCGCCAGTGCCGGCGCCTGCCAACGCCTTGGAGCCATTCGCGCCAGGCCCGGGGGCTGCAGCCCCGGGTGCGCCGATCGAAGGCCCGATGAGTCCATTGAAGCCTCCACCGAGCCCTTGGCTCACAGGCCCACTTGATGCGCCGCCTCCATTGGACGTCGAGCCAAACACACCGCTAAAGCCCGCGAGCGAATCCAGCCCGAGACTGACCCCTGCAGCGCCTCCGCCAAGTCCGTTGGCACCATTGTAGGCGGCATCGTACGATGGCATGGTGGCTGCTGCCCACTCCGCTTGGTACCACGCGTCAAAGAACTGTTGCGCATCCTCACCGCCACCGTTGGGAGCAGGTGCCCAGGTGGGCGTCGAAGACGAAGAGGCATTCGCCTTGGGATCGTTGACTCCATGCCCACTCGCCATCACAGCTGGGAGCGATGAAGTTGAAGGGCTGTTGGAGCTGCTTGCGGACGAGCTAGGGTCTACCGTGCCAGATAGCCCGCGCGGTCCGCCGAATGACCAATCGCCCGATCCCTGTCGCGAAGCAGTCGAGCCTGCATCTTGTGGCGCGTCACTTGTCGACGGGACAGCGCCACGTGCTAGTCTATCCAGATACGACTTGGATGCAGCATCAGCTTCATTGCCCACCTCCCTCCTTCCAGCCCCGTTGAGACCTGATCTGCTCGCATCGAGGCTGAGCAGCAGATGCGCATCCGACTTTTCGTCGGAAAGCTCGTCGCCAGCGTCTTTGCCGCGCTTTCGCGACTTGTTCAGTCGGTCGCGTGCATCGCTGTTGGGGCCGGCATCGGTGGATCGGCCCCTCTTTGGAGCGCGCGGCGCAGCGCGTGAGCCTGATGCGTTGCCCTTGGCTTCAGCTGCCATCTTTTCCACCTGTTCAATGCGCGAAAGGAAGATGCCGATCACGTTGGCCTCGCGATCGCGCATCTCGTCGCGCTGGCTCGCCGGCCGGCTCTTGTAGGTGTTGACATACTCCTCGAGGTGCGACTTGAGCTTGGGCGCATCGCGTGCGTTCGGGTCCATGAGGAGCACGATGCCGACGACCAGAAGCGAATGGAACCATTTATACGTTCCGATCTGAACGCGATACAGCAGAGGCTCTTCGCCGGCAGGCGTCAGCGTCTTGAGGTTCTGCACAAAGTCGCGACGCATCTCGAGGTCGTGAACAGCTGCGTCAAGGCTGGCCTCACGGCAAGGCAAGAACTTGGCGCCATTGGGACCTCCAGAGCGGAGCAGGTAGGGGCGATGCAGCGCGATTCGGACCGAGTTGATCTCGGTGTGCAGGAGGAAGCGATGCACGTTGAGAAAGCCGTAGACCGAGTCGAGCGATTTGTCGCCCTCTACACCATCCTTTGTGAGCTTTGCACGGAAATAGAAGGGCAGTCCGTCTTGGAGTTCGCGCATGCTTTTATCGAGAGCCAGAACGTCGCTGATGTGGACCGGATGCTGAAGATTCTGAAAAGTGGCGAGGATGCGGCCTTCGAGCTCTGCGATGCGCTGACGGAAGACGGTGTAGCTGTAGGCGGTCGGAGGATCGACGCCGGGAGGCATTTTTGGTGGATGTTTGGGAGCGGGAAAGATGTCCTCATCCATGACTTCGCTGGGAACTTGAGTGTCGCACACGCGATCGTCGATGACGGCCGGACGACCCGTATTGAGAGCCATGGCTCGGTCGAGGAAGTAAACAGCGGCCCAGACGCGTCTGCGCGCCTCGGTCTCGGCGGGAGACAGGCCGAGCTTGGTGCCGTCACGGTGAAGACCGATGCTGAAGGCGGCGCGGACAGCAGAAGAGCCCAAAGTGTAGGCCTCGCCAATGCGACGATCAAGGAGGAGGAAGCGACACGAAACGAGCCAGGCGACGATTTGATCGACGTCTTCGCGACCCATGATGGTGCTCATAAGCAGCGCTCTGCGGCCGGCGTAGTGGTAGCGCCGTGCGGCCTTGAGGCGATCGCGCGGGCCCTCTGGAAAGAGACGATGTTGCACGGAGAGCATGGCGATGGCGCAAATGTTGCACAATAGCGCAAAGATGTTGATGTTCTGCGCGTTGATCTTTGGGCCCGAGTCCCAGAAGGCCTCGAAGGACTTGCGCAAGCTCTTTTGTGGGAAGGGCTGGCGCATCCAGTTGATGTCGTTGAAGAAATGGTCGATAAGCACGCTGCAGTGTGCACGTGTGCTGAAAGCGCCAAGAAGATCGGGAGTGGGTGCAGTTGGACATCCGTATTCGGGCATGACGACGTCGATCTCCGAGGGACCCTCGAGCGTGCGAACGGGCGGATTGAGCGGTGCGGACTTGGACGAGCTGCCGGGCAGGTCGTCGAGGATGGAGCTGATGCGCATGTCCATGGAGCCACCGCTGTAGAAGCCGGTTTTGGGACTGTATCGCCCCGTCTCGAGTTCGTCGATGTCATCGTCGCCCTGGTCGCTAGCTCGGGCGTATGTGCGCTCGGGTGATCTGGCGAGAGCGCCTTCGTGCCAGGTGGATCTGCTGGCGGAAGGGATGCGGGGGTGAGGGTCGTGGGGCTGTGGGCGCGACGTTGTGCTTGATCCGAGGAGGGAGACGAGATGGTGGACCTGCTCAGCGAGCTTGGGAAGATGGTCTTCGAGCATTCTCTCGACGCGATTGAGCCTTGTTGCGACATCGTTGGCATCCTCGCCCGGCTGGAAGGTCTTGCAGCGCTCTGGGATCTTGCGAGCGATGCAGTGCTGGCATGGCGTCTCGCGATTGCACTTTTGCTTTCGACGATAGCATTCGGTACAGGAGAAGTGGACGCGATTGCGTTTTCCGGTGCCGCGCGAGTAGAGCCGCGCATCGTCGGAGGGCGAGTCGGGATTGTGAGCATGCGCTTCGGGAGTGTTGGGTGCAGCCGACGAGGGCGCCTCGCTGCCTCGCGAGCCTGGTCGAGAATGCTTCATCGCGGCTTCAATGCAGGAGACGGATGATGCCGACGCAGCTGCCGCAGAAGCATAGATGGGTAGGATGGGAAAGGGATTCAAAGCATGACTCCCACGTTTGGGTGCCGGAAGCTCGTGCCTAGAGTGGAGCAAAGACCGGTCAGAACTCCGGGCACATCCGCCTGCGTCGGGCGCGCCGATGTCGGCCTAGCCGACCGAAAAATTAAAAAGTTAGAAATAAAAAAAGCCCGGTCTGACCACGCGCTCGCCGAAAGTTAGGCTCGGACTTACCGATGCCGAAGGCTTTGCTGCAGGTGCTGCTGAGCGGAAGAGCATGTGAATGGCTGCCCCTGAGCAGTGGCAACTGTCTCTGTGGCGGCTGGCTTCGGACCTGCGGACTGCGTTGTCTGCGCAGCCCCCGATCGGATTTCGGAATTCGGATATGCCGAGCACTCGCTGCTGCGCTTTAGCAATTTGGCTAGAAGACCCTGACCGCCATCCGCTCCACTTGCTCTCAGTCTCACACCATCGTCTTAGCTGCCGCCCCCTCTTGGCCGTCACAATGTCCAAGTAAGTAGCCAAGCTTCACCAACTCATTAAGGCCATTTTCTGAGCTGACCTTCGTCCTGTTCTTTTCTGCATGATTCAGGCATCATCCCGATCTTGTTCTCTGCCGCAAGCTGCCCGGCATCGCAATCGGCAGGCTCTGCGAAAAGGATGACGGCAAATGGTGAGTCCATCCAACTCTCATCACCTTGCGAATCACCCTGATTCAGACTGCTGATCCTCTCCTTTCTTCTCCAATGTGTTCATCTCTGCAGCCCGATCTGCGACTCGTATGTGCGTCCCGCTGCGCTAGTGCGCATCTGCGAGGAATGCAATTTCGGCTCTTCCGGTGGCAAATGCATCATCTGCGGAGGTCAAGGCGTCTCGGACGCATACTACTGCGCAGAGTGCACACGACTCGAAAAGGATCGCGACGGCTGTCCCAAGGTGGTCAACCTCGGCGCGAGCAGGACCGACCTCGCCTACCTGCGCAAAGCAAGACAGCAACAGCAGCAGTAGGTTTCTCTAACTCTCTCACACATGCCGTCACATGACTAACCACGATCTTGTGCTGCCTTGCTTTCACAGATTCCAAAGAGGCTAAAAGAGGCTAAAAGCTCTCAGCTGCTACTCACTCTCGCACACCTGTATTTGTACCTCAAAGCATGCCATCAAGTATTCATCCCCGAAATCTTGTCTTATTGACGGTGAGGCAGGCGCTACAACTCGGCAAAGAAGAACTCGGTGGTGGAGGGCAGCGGCGGCGCTTGCACGGTGGCTGGCAGCTCGATCTGTTCGCCGGTGAGGTCGAGCATCTTGACCTTGATGCCGATCTCGGTGAGCATGTTGATAAGGTCGGCGGTCTCGCGCGTGCTCACCACGCCGCCCTCGTCGCGCAGCATGTTGAGACCGTCGGTCCACTCGGACAGCTGGCTCGCATTGAGCGCCTGCATCTCGGCCACGCATCCATCCGGCGACTGCAGCAGACTGATGACCAGCTCGCATCCCGTCGCCGCGCTTCCCGAGCCTCCACCTGTCGCCGCGCCACCATGGTGCGAAATTTCGGTGACCAGACTCAGATCGATGCGATCCGGCAGGTCGTCCAGCCCTCCGCGGATGGGCACGCGGTCGGAAGAGTCGCAAAAGTAGAGGAACTTTTTGTTGGGCGCCAGGCGGTAGAAGCGCCACGGTTTGGTAGGAGCCGTGGCGCCGTTGGAGATCGTCGGCATGGCCGTGTTGGTGGTCTCGACTGTGCTCGTCGATCCTCTGCGCTGCTTGGCACCCATCGCGCCGGCGCCCACGGCTGACGATGCGACCACATTGCGGAACCATGCACCTTCGAGCAGACACTGAATGCGTTGCTGGCGCACAAACTCGTAGCTCTCGCGATAGATGCGCCCGCGCAGGTTGCGAATCGACGCCTTGGAGTTGTAGTCTTCGTCCACCTCGAGCTCCTTGATCTGGCGATCGCGCACGGTGCGGTACTCCGAGTGCAGGAAGGCGTCCTCGAGGTCGATCCAGGTGCGGCTCACCTCGTCCTGCTTGCCGAGCGCATCGTGCACCTGGCTGCGCACCAGCGCCGACACGCGCGAAAAGTCCGAGGCGGCGGCACCCGATTCGTTCCACATACGCAGGAAGAAGCGCAGCGCGAGATTGTGCACCTTGGTCAGGGAGAGCAGGAAGGGGAGATACGAGGTGGACGCGGTGAAAGAGCCGGACTCGATGTCCCAGTGATCGGCGAGGATCGAGGTGACTTCGATGGATGCGCGTGCAAACATGCAGCGGCGCTCCTCGGGCCGATTGATCTGCTCCAGGATGATCTTGGCGTACAGGTCGGGATCCGATCGCACGAATGACTCGAGGCACAGGAGGCCCAGCCAGCCCGTTCGACCAAACTCCTTGGCAGCGGACTCGGACGCAAATCCGATACGTCGCCACTTGTAACGCGTGGTAGCGCCACCGGCGGTCCTCGATGCTCCGTTGAGGGTGGTTTGAGCGGGGTTTTTGTTTGGCACGACGACATCGCTGATTTTGGCTTGAAGCCAGATGTAGGAGAGTGCGTGCACGTGGCGCTTGTCGGTCGGTGTGACGGCGGTGCGCATCCTGCGATGCGCTATGCGGATGACGTTGGTCTGGTAGTCGAGGATGGACGATGCAAGTTCGTCGCCCCGATGCGAGTCCATCAGCCACGCCACCGCCTTGGATGCGTTGAGCTTTTCGAGCTCCGAGGTGAAGCTCTCGAAGAGCTCGTCCGAGACGTTGCGCAGCAGGCTGTTGATGAGGCTGAGACTGTACAGCTTTAAGGTGGTGTCGGAGCTGCCGATGCGGTTGGCGAGCGTCTGGAGAAAGAGAGGTTCGCGCTGGAATTCGGCGTACACAAAGTCGAAGCCGTAGCGGTAGACGGGAGGCGGAGCAGCGGACGCAGCGCCCGATCCGTCGGTGAGCACGCGGCCCATCTTGGGCGAGTCTTGCGGACCCGAGACGACGAGCCTCTTGAGGATGGCGGTGGCGGGCCGGCAGACGTTGATGCGTTCCTGGGTAACGAGCAGGCTGACGACCTTTGCGACGAGATCGGCGTCGATGATGTCCCAGCCATATTCGAAGCCGTCCATGAGGTTCTGGCAGCTGGTGAGGGCGTAGGCGAGAGTGTTGCCGGACGAGTGGTTGCGGATGACGTTGAGCAGCTCCCTCACGCCGCCTCTGGCAACAAATTCGTTTGTGAAGGGTGCTTCGCGGATTAGGCGCTGGAGGGTGTAGGTGGCCATCTTGAGCACGCGCTCGTCGCGGGAGCCGAGCTTGTCGACCATGTCTGCGGCTTCGATGGTCGGAGATGAGCACAGCTTGAAGTTGGCGCCGGCCTCGATCTTCTTTGCCATGTTGGCATCGTCGATGAGCTCGTCGTTGTCGTCGTCGCGAAGCGCAAAGAGCGCTGGGGGTTCTTGGACGCCGAGGTGAGCATTGGCGCAGAGTTGGCGGATGACATCCTGTACCGGCAGGCTGGGGTCAATGAGCGCCTTGATGGTGGACTGCTTGTAGGTGACGAGGTTGATGCGGTTGGCGAGCTGGGGAGACGCGAGCGGCGGGGCGGCCGGATCGATGTAGCTGCTCTGCTGTGTGGTTGGCGAGGCGGGAGTGTGGAGCATGGTCCTGCTGGGTCCTGCCTGGCTGGCGGACATGGTGCGGAAAGTGACCGGTACTCGTCGGCCCTCTTCCGACCGAGCAGAACGTCAAGACGGGTGAGGATGGTTCGATGGTGGTTGCGGACGGAGAACGCGAGTTGGATTGGATGCGAGGCGAGGCGAGGCGAGGCAAATGCAACCCGGCGCGCACGGTGCGGAGAGCAACGCGGCTGGAAGACGAGCAAAGTGCGGGATCGGCAAGCTGCGTTTGGGCGCAAGAAGCGGCCGCGGCGCGTGATTCAGAATCCAAGAAAAGGCCGACTGCATGCATGGTGGACCCGCTTTTTCGGCATCAGACCTGGCCTCTAGGCCTCTAGGCCTCTCTAGCCTCTGTCTCAACTCACAAGGCCGCGACCACAAGGATCGAGCCAACAACGCATACGATTGAGAGGCTTAAGTAGGTCAGAAGCAAATACTTTGTGGTCTTTTGATTTTTAAGCATTGCGGGTTCATCTTGACTCGGAATGAGCAGCCGGAACGGAACTCGGTGATTGGCTCGAGCTCTGCTTTTGCTGCTGTTGTGCTTGTTCCTTTCGCTTCTGGTGCTCCACGATCTTGGAGGGCCAGCCACGTCTCTTGCCGGCTCGAGCAGTGCGGCCTGCAAATCGCGCCACGGCGATGGGAGGCCGTGTGATGCCAAATTCGCGTCGCATGTCGTCGATGTCGCGCTCCCAGCACTTTTCCCACTCGACCGAGATGAGCGGCACCGACGTCTTGCCTACTTCGATTGCCCATGGAATCAAGCTCTGCAGAGCCGCAAGATCACCAGATGTTGGATTCGCTGCTGATGCCGTCGCGTTTGACACCGAAGATGGCGAGAGGGCCGCAGTGAGCAGCTGCGATGGCTTGGGCAGCGACGACAGATTCGATGCGAGGATGCGCAGCGTGCCTCCCGCCGCAGCAAATCCAGCGACGGGCATGTTCATCTGTGCCATCTCGAAATACTTGACCACCGTCTCGCCGAGCTGCGTGACGGGCATCCGCAGCAGAAGGTGGTAGAAGTCGTGCGACTCGCGATAGCGCTGGATCAGATACTTTAGCTCGGGCGTCGGCATGTAGTCGGCCTCGGCACGACCGTCCGGTCCCACGCCATTCTCCTTGAGCCACTCCATCCACTCGCGCCCGAACTTTCCGCGCTCAAGGCTGCAGAGATACTCGACATCCACCGTTTCCGAGTTGACCGAAGGACGCTCGATCAACAATCGGCGGCCCGATTCCGTAGAGCGCATCAAGCCGAGCAGATGGGACAGGGACGGCCCGGAAGACACCTGTGTTAGCATAGAGAGAAGATCTGTGCGAGATCAGCCGCATATGGAATGCCGAGCGGCCAGATTTGTTAGCCTTCCATGGTTCGGCGAGGGTCAATCAAGAGCTGCGACAATGCTTACCTCCTCGAGCTGGATTGTTCAGCAGCCCTAACGCACTACCCGCAGTCAGCAGCGCTCGACCAAGCCGAGATGTGCGCATGTGGTCAACTTCGTCGATCCTTGTGTCGTGTGCCTGGCCAGCTGGGGCGCTCGCCTCGTCCTTGGATCGACCGGCGCTGCTCGTGCTCGCCCACCGCCGCGCCGTACTCGCAGTCGATGCGGTGGTTGCGCATCCGTGTTGGATCAAGCTGCCAGTGACGTTTCGCCCTGTTGCAGCAGACAGCATCGTCAAGTTGCGCAACATCATTGTGGCAGTCGCTGTCCTGATGACCGCCGATAGTCGTCCATAGATTGATGGTGAGAACGAAGGTCGACAGTCGTATCTGCTTCGTGTGGAGGCTGAGCCTTTTCTAGCCTCAATTTCGTGGGCATGAATCTTTTGCCCTTTTTTTTGGATATCTGAATTTATTTGTTTCTTTAATCCGATTCTGGATCTCGGTGGATAAGCCGGAATCCAGTCGGCACGCCGGCTAGCTGAGCCTAATCCGACGAAGACCCTTGGTTGCGCCTGGCACTTGTGCACCCTCTTTGCATCTCGCCCTCGAACCACCAACCCGATCTGCCTGGAACAACGATGACGACGGACAACTTCCAGAAGAGAGAAGAAGGAAACGGAGGCGTATGGGGAGAGCTCCTCTTCACCTATGCCGACGAAGAGCTCGACCACGATCCCGACTCTTATCTCAAGCTGCAGAAGCCGCATCGCGAGCGCCCCAAACGCGGCGTGTGGAAGCAGCTCCATTCGCTCCGTCCCGAGCTGGACCAACTCAGCACCCGCTCCGAGGCGCAACGCATCCAGACTGCTCGTGTCGACCTGGCCAAGCGTGGATTCGCCGTGCTGCCCCACTTCAGCCATGCTTTGGAAGAGAACGGCATCGACACGCAAGAGGACTACTCGCAGTTTGTGCGCGAAAACCAGCAACTCGTCAAGATCATCACGGGCGCAGACGAAGTGATCGTGTGGAACACGGTAAAGCGCGACTCGACCGTCTCAGCTTCCGCTAGTCTCGACGACGACTATGAGCAGCAGCAACGCCCTCAGGGTGTCGAGTCGAGATTCGACAAGCCCATCGAGCCACCCGCCTTGTTCGCTCACATCGATCAGGATCCTTCGCATGGCGCTAGGGTCTGCTCCATGGCCATCGCCGGTACGCCTTCCCTCCTCACTCCAGCACAGAGCACCGGGATGGACCCTAGCGAGGCTATCAGCTCGAATCTATCCGCCCAGTATGCAAGAACGATGATCATCAATCTGTGGAGACCAGTGGGAGGCACAGTGTACGATAAGCCGCTCGCTCTGGCCGACTACAGATCGTTAGACCAGCGCTTCATCTCGAGACATGCCAATCCATTCGGATGTGGATACGACCTCCATGCGCATGACAAGCAGCAGTGGCACTTTGTGCCGCATCAGACCAACCACGAGGTGCTCGTCTTCAAGTGCTACGATTCCTTGTCGCTGAAACACCACCAACGTCAATCGGGCGAAACCCAAGAGGCTCTGTACGGCGCACATTGTGCCGTCACTCGGATCAAGGGCGATTATCCAGCGCCGCCACCCAACGCACCGCCAAGAAAGAGCGTCGAGGTGCGCTTTGTTGCTGTCTGGCGCTAGATGTTCGGCTCATTTCATGACTGCATTACTCTGGCAAGATTGATTGTGCTTGTATGTGCAGTGAGTCAAGTCTTTGGCAGTAGCTGAGAGGTTCAGGGAATGGCGCGAGGAGTGTGGTGCTCGGAGCGGGTGGTAAAGTAGGTCAGAGCAATCAGAGTGGCGCTGATGAACTCCATCATGGTCACCATGCACGTCTCTTCGGTGACAAACTGCTGGGTGAGGTTGTTCGCGTCGTAGACTTCCGAGTTGAAGTACTGTGAGGTCGACGATGCGCACGGACAGCGACGGAAGAATGGATGGTCAGCGCTGCTGTTCACATGAGCTCGCCGTTTGGCGCGGGATCGAACTTACATTCAGGTCCGGTACCACTGCCTGTGCCACACCAAAGATGCCGCGCACTGCGAGGAAGGGCCAGGTGAGGTAGATGAGGGCCAAAGTCTTGTGACCGTACCACGGTCTCCGTTCGGATTGCCCAAGGGACTGGTCGGGAACGTTCTTTCGGTCCTGGACTGGCTCGTCCTCCTGACGGTTTGGCCCACCGTTATCGAAGCGGTGCTGTCGGTGTTGATGCATGCTGACGATGATGCAGACCAGCAAGAGGATGTTGATGGCAAGGAAGACGGCTTGCCCCGCCGCCCTCATGCCTCTGGACGTCTTCAGCTTATCTTCTCGCTGCGTATAGGTGAGGTCGCTGTCTCTGTACGCGGCTGCGCTGAGTGAGCCGCCGACGATGATGATGACGTTGGCGGCGATGAGCAGCCAGTCGACGACGAGCAGAGCATGCGCCGACTTGGGCTCGTCCTTACTCTTCTTCCACTCGAAGAGCTGCTTGAACCTCATCTTGGCTTTGCCATGCTTTGGTGCGTATGGATCGACTGGTTCCATCCACGAGTAGCCTCTCCAATGCTGCCTTTGCCATGCAATCAGGTAACGGCTCAAACAAACGACGAGCGTAAAGTACCCTTCCGCCCCTAATACGTAGTAGGCGACGAGCACGTTGATGTTGCTGTAGCCGACGATGCCGAACGCCAGACCGCACGCCTGGGATGCCAAGCGGCAGAGGACGTGGAGAAGCAGCACGAGCCATCTCGACTTCCACGGCACCTTGCGCAGCGCAAAGAGCGCCGCGAGGAAGATGAACAGGAAGAGATAGAGAATCAGAAAGACGATGGAAGCGGAAGCTAGTGGAGACCACATGGTGACGGCAAGGTAGGTGGTCGAAACTCTGGGAACGACAATAAAGGTGATCTGCGTTGCTCGTATTTAAGGCTTCTTTTGTCAAAACTCTGGCGACGAATCTGGGGACGGATGGATGGATGTGTGCACGTTCTCCAACAGGTTCGGCTCTGAGCCAGCCGAACGGCATCGACATCGTAACACACCGAGTCGCTTCGCATCGCAACGGCAGTACCAGGAAACCAGCGCTGATCCGTGGATCTCGACGGCGGAGCTGAGCGAAATGCAGTGCTGGCTTCTCTGCAAGGAAGCCATCCGAACTCGCATGTACATGCGTGTGACGACAGAAGGCAGCTTCCCGTTGGAAGCAGAGAGGAGCCGATGCGCCAAGGCCAGGGCAAGCGCCCTACTGTAATTCAGCCGCGCCTCCTGTCGCGCGTCTCGGAGGCTCCCGAACGGATCGGCACGGTCCAGGCACGAGAGCTGTGATCTCGGAGAAATTGCGGTCGGAGACGTCGACAATGCTTTCCAGCGGAAATTGCACGCCAAGAACCCAAACAGGACGATGCGAGGAGGCTATGCTTTCCCACGCACCAGATCCACGGAAACGGAAGAAGAGCTGTCGTGCGGGATCGTGCGGAGGATCATCGGTTCCTTGGAAAGTGGCCTTGACCGATGCTGCTGGGCAGTATTGCCCGATCTAACAAGATCAAGTTTGTCGGCTCACAGCCAGCCTCTTCAACATTCCAGCGACACAGACGGACCCAAATGCGTAGTGATTGTTGAGCAACCCTCGGTGAGTGAGTCTCCGTGTACGGGTTTCCGTGATTGAGTGCGGGAGTGAGGTGCGGGGGCGCGTGCGGATGAGTGCGGGGGTGAGTGCCGGAGGTTCGAGGTGGAAATCTTGCACTCATGGACAGCTGAGTCCTCCTGACCCTGCATGCCATGAAGTGGTCTAAGCTCACATGGTTCGTTTGGATATCGCAGTACGATCTCCTCTTCGCAATCAGTGAGGACCAAGCAAGTGTCCGAAGACCGTCGCCAGCACCCTCAGAAGGCTTCTCGTCGCGGTGTGTGCGCGTGGCCGAGATTGCCGAAAAGCGTGGATACCCGACGTTAGCGCCGGCGATCTCGTCCACCCGCAGGATCACCACCACGTCCGCCGGCAAACCACTCGAAGTGCACGTCCACTGTGGCTATCCACATTCGAAGTATCTAACTGACTCTCTTTTCGGTCAAAGCTGCCACTCGCCGGTTGTCCAACCCCGAGCAACCCCGGCTCGCTTACACATCCACTGCACCCGACTGTTGCCCAGTGTTGGATGCGAGGTTGTTGCGCAACGCTCAGCCTCTGCATGGACGGCTTGCAGATGACGGCGCCCATGCACGCCTCGTGAGTTCTTGTGGGGTTTTCTTCCCAGTGCCCGCCAACCCGGAATTCTGTGTTTCCCCTTAATCAGTCGGCGCCATTGCCGAAGCTCCGTTGTGTGGGGCAAACCCTTCGAGAGAGTGGCGTGCATGACCAGCCTCCTGCAACCTCTGGATGAAGCTGCAGAGAAGCCATTGTATGAGTTGCCTTCGAGAATTGTGCATCATTTGCACCCACCTGTTGCTGCTCCGTCGGTCTGCATCAATGCCGTGAGCCCACTTCAGACGCCGTGATCTTCGTTCATAGCCACGCGCGTGCATCCCCGACTCGCCGGTACAGGAGTGTGCAGTGTGCTCTGCTTGCAGACACGGCTATATATACACATCCTTCTGTGTGCTTGTCTCGCCTTCTGAACATAACAAGATACCTCTCATCCTCCCTATACCCTCCCCCCACTCTAAATCGACCTTCCATCTCTCGCCCGGACCCAATTCTTCCATCATGATGCTGCTTTCCGCAGGTGGCATGAGCATGGTCGCTGCTGCGATCATGCTTGCATCTGCCCCTTCCGGCTCCGATGCCAAGTCGCTGCGGTCCAACGTCCGCGCTCGTCAGTCGTCGGGAGCCAGCGTGCAGCCGACGCCCGGCATGGGCTTCAACACCTACAACCAGGTCTCTTGCAGTCCCACCGAGGCGTCGTCGCACAAGACCATGGACATCATGGCCTCGCAAGGCTACATCGCCGCTGGCTATGGAATGTTCGGAATCGATTGCGGATGGGTAGCCAAAACCTCGAGCCGTGACTCGGCTGGCAATCTGATGATCGACACCAACAACTTTCCATCAGGCATGAAGAACCTCGGCGCTTACGCCACCTCCAAGGGTCTAGAATTTGGTCTCTACTCGGACGGAGGCTTCCTGGCTTGCGACCCCGACGTGCCCAGCAAGCGACTCGGAAGTCTGAATCACGAGGACCAGGATGCGGCTCTGCTGAAGAGTTTCAACGTCACTTACCTCAAGTACGACAACTGCTACGCCGGAGGCACCACCGCTGGCGACAACGCCCCAAAGGCTGCCCGCACCGACTTCCCCACTCGCTTCGGCGCCATGAGCAACGCACTTGCCAAGGTTGGCATCCAAAAGATGCTTGTCTGCCAATGGGGTGTGCCGCAGCGCCAGTCCGACGGCTCTCTGGTCGGCCCCGATCAGTGGACCAAAGGCCTGAGCACATCGTACCGTCTGTCGGACGACATTGCGGGAGGCTGGGTGAACGTGGTGCGTATCCTCAACCAGGCCATTCCGATCTCGCTCAACGACCGCAGCGGGCCTGGTCACTTTGCCGATGGCGATCTGCTCGAGGTAGGCAACGCAGGCATGAGCATCGACGAGCAGGCGTCGCACTTTGCCTTTTGGGCCATGATCAAGTCGCCTTTGATGATCTCGACCGATCTGTCGACCATCTCGGCCGAGGCCAAGGCGATCCTGCTCAACAAGGGCCTCATTGCCGTCAACCAGGACAAGCTCGGCCAGCCCGTCAAGCTCGTGGAGAGGAGGACCAACGACTTTGACCTGCACGCAGGCAACCTGAGCAACGGAGACCTGGCGGTGCTCGCCATTGATTGGACCAACTCGCAGCGAACGATCAAGATCGACTTTGCGCAGCTCGGTGTGGAGTCGGCCGACGTGATGGATCTGTGGGCGGGCACCACGCAGAAGGGCGTCCAGGGCTCGTTCAGCAAGCAGGTCAAGGGCCACGGCTCGATTGCTCTGCGTCTGACCAACATCAAGAAGACCAGCACCCCTGCCCCTCGACTGACGTACGTCGAGGCCGAGTCTGGCGTACTGGCCGGCAGGGCTTCCAAGACTCAGTGCGCCGGTTGCTCCAACGGCGGCAAGGTCTCCAACGTCGGCGGAGGCGGCGGAAACACGCTGACGCTCAGCAACATCAAGCCCAGCTCGTCCGAGGCGGTGCTCTACTTTGACTACATCAACGCCGACGTGAGCTTCTCGTTCGCTGGCCTCACCAACGAGCGCTTCGCCCAGATCAGTGTCAACGGAGGAGCCCCGCACAACGTCAGCTTCCCACTCTCGGGCTACGACTGGAACAAGGACGTGACCAAGGCGTACAAGGTGCGCCTCAGCGGCTTCCGACCCGGCACGGAGAACACGATCACCATCTCGAACCCCAACGGCAACGCGCCCGACTTTGACCGTGTGGGTTACTGAAGTCGCCCGCAAAGACCTCGTCCGGCCATCCACTTCGAATCTGCGAAGCCTGCACGCTAATCTATTGTGCTTACTCCGACTGTGCCGTGTGGTGTTGATCTGTTCGCGAGCTGAAGCGAGTTGGAGTCTTGTTGGCAGCTAAGCGAGGGCAGGGTGGTCTAAGCGTTGGGTGGCTGGTTGGGTTGTTCGGTGGGTTGCTCGGTCCCGATTTCGGCGCCGAATTCGACAGGCGGAGGTGCAGTGGCCATCACGACGCGAATTTGCTCCGACTGCGGATAGAAAGCTGCTGCTGCAGGGTCCGCTCAGATGCACAGCCGCAGGTTCGCTCGGATGTCAATTCGGCACTCGCGCCCGCCCTCCTGCGTGGACTGTCTGAGCATTATGCGCTATCGCGGAATTGACACGAGTGGCACAAAACACATTGTCTATCGTCATACGCTATGTCAACAGGGATGTGCGAGTCGTATATAGTCCGCCATCGATGAAACCTTGGCAGCCTTCTATCATTCCTCATCCCAAACTCCCCGACCAAGGCTTTCCTCCGACAATGTCTGCTGCACACGCAACTCCAATGCACTGGGCCGAGGCTGGCCCGTCCGTCCCTCCCCCCAGCTACAATGTGGCCATGGGTGAAACCCCTTCGTCGCGCTCCTCCAACGACCATGATGCCTCTGGCCAGCATCAGTTCAACGGATTCTCCGAGAAGAAGCAGCGAGAGCGCGAAGTTGAGCTCGATCTTCGTCGTGCTCGTCCGGCCACCATCGACACTGTCGATCCCACGTATCGCTCGCATGCGCCATCCACAGGCTTTTCTTTCGATCCCAAGACAGCGCTCGCGAGGTTTGGAAGCCCCTTTGCCACGTCTCCAGACTGGTCACCCCTCCCTCAGGATGCATGCCTCACTCGATTGCCTTCTTTGGATTTGGAGCTGCGAATCAAGATGCGCTTTTCAAGTCCTTCCAACGAGCAGCGCATTTCTTCGCCGCCTCCAAGCTTCCATCGACGCGCCGTCTCCTCCATTCCAGCCGCGAAGATGCAGTTTGAGCCCGTCTACATCAAGAGCGCCAACAACAAAGAGAGCAAGAAGCAGATCCTCGCGGATGGCTTCCAGTCAGAATACCCTGGTCGCCTCTTGGTGCCGCGCGACGTTTCCACAGCAGACTGGGCACGCTTCTTGGACGACATTGTTGCTGCGGGAGCACTCACAGGCAAGCAGAAGATCGTCTCCAATGTCGCGCCCATCACCATGCACATTGGCATCACCGGCTTTCTCGTCACCCGCGCCATCGAGAAGGGCATGAAGAAGCGCAATTCACCCTTGATTTGCGAGACCATCGAGCTTTGGCAGCACCAATTCTTTGGCGCACGCAACCTTGACGTCTATGTGCTCTACAACGGTGAGCGTCTCACCGCCCGCTCGCCGAACGCTCCCATCCCCGCATCTACGTATCCGACGCACCACCAGCTCCAGCGCAAGGAGACACGTGCGACTTTGGCCAGCTCCATATCGAGCAGCAGCAGCTCCAGCAGCGATTCGTCCGACGACGAGGATAGAGCTACGCCCCACACACTCGACGGTCAACGCCTCGGCAGGAAGGAGAGGAAGTTGCTTAGAAAGCAGAGGAAGGCCGAGCGCAAACATGAGCGCAGGCTCGCCAAGATAGAGCGCAAGCGCAGGCGCAATGAGAAGAGGTATGGATGCTCGCCGTGCTCCCCACTCGCTAACCAAACTACGAGCGGTCCCGGGCCCAGGCACGGCGGCGGCAGGGGAGGTTACCTGCTCGTCATTGCTCCGCTCCCACCTTCCACAGCCAGTCTCGCTGGGGATGCCGCTGCAATCATGTGGTAGAATCCTGTGTCTAGCTCATCCCTGTACATATAGCACCTTCGTCTGCCAGATAGGAACCTCGATCTCAGAGTGCTTCTCGTCTTGGTTATGCGTGGGGATGGAAGTGCGGAAAAAGCAAAAATTGTTACTTTGGAGGTGTCTGACAGATTGAGATTTATTCGCGGCGTCGGCTATGGAGAAGAGCGGCAATTGCCGGTGGGTCGCGCACGATGCGGGGAAGAGCTGCAGCGCAGGTGGTGACCAAAAGGTCTGTGCCTCTGCCAACCAACTCTCTCCCCTCTCACACATCAATCGCAACCATGTCTGATCCCAAGGTAAGTCGATGTCGCTCGGAGCCGGCTAGAGAAGCGAATGCTGACAAGCTCATCCGAACCTCTTCATCGTTGCGTCACGTCAGTCCGGCTATCTACGTGAGATCTACGTCGGCGGTCTTAGCGGCGTCAAGCCCCAGACCACCGACTTGAAGCAGCTCGAGTTGCACGCCAAGGCCAAGCTCAAGCCCGAAGCGTACGCCTACGTTGCTGGTAGCGCCTCGACCGAAGCGACCGCTCAGAACAACCTCGATGCCTTTAAGAAGTGGCACATCGGTAAGCACCTTCTCGTTGTGACCCTGTCTGCACGCGCTCTTTGCTCATTGTGCCTTGATTCATGAACAGTGCCTTCCATGCTGCGCGACGTGTCGCTGGCAGAGTTCGACACCGCTACGCGCCTGTTTGGCCGCAAGTACGCAACGCCGCTCGTGATCGCTCCCATTGGCGTGCAGGCGCAGCTCCATCCCGAAGAGGCCGACTGCGCTACCGCATGCGCAGCAGCCGAGCTCGAGATCCCCTTCACCCTGTCCTCGGCCACCAGTCGCCCGCTCGAGCAGGTTTACGAGCAGGCTGGCTTCCGAACCAACCCCGTGGAGGAGGACGACGGCGGCGTCGACGCCTGGTTCCAGCTCTACTGGCCCCAGGACGATGAGCTTACCGAGAGCCTCCTCGCCAGAGCCAAGAAGGCTGGCTACCGCGTGCTCGTCGTCACCCTCGACACGTGGAGCCTCGGCTGGAGACCTCGCGACCTCGACACCAGTACGTACCTCCGCTCCTCACACATTGGCTACTATGAACTGTGCTGACATCTCTCCGCTTCGTCTATGTCTTGCGTAGCGTACAACCCCTTCCTGACGGGTGAAGGAGTGGCCAACGTTTTCTCGGACCCGGTCTTTGTCCGCAAATATTGCGATGGAAAGGTGAGTCTGATCATTTACTGCTGCGATGCTTTCTTGGGGGATCAACTTTGCTGATCGAACCCGTATCTGGTTTGGACGATGCAGGATCCGCGCCGGGCAGACGTGACGCCGGACGAGATTACCTCTGCATCGGTTGCAGCGATCTCGCAGCTTTCGCCCGGCATTTCGCGATCGTGGGCGGACCTGGCGCAGCTTCGACGTCTGTGGGGATCGGCTCCCATCGTGCTCAAAGGAATCCAGACGCTAGCAGATGCTGCACGTGCCGTTGAAGCGGGCATGGACGGCGTGTGGGTCTCGAATCACGGTGGTCGTCAGGTCGATGGCGCCGTAGGCTCGCTCACCCAGCTGCCGGCGATTGCCGACTATATCCGCTCCCTCCCACTCAAGGAGGGCGAGGAGAAGAAGACGGTCATCTTTGACTCGGGCATCCGTTCGGGCGCCGACATCATGAAGGCCCTCTCCCTCGGCGCAGACGGCGTCGCCATCGGTAGACCTTGGTGCTGGGGTCTCGCAGCGAACGGCCAGGACGGCGTGCGCGACGTGCTCAAGACGCTGCTAGCCGATTTGGAACTCAACGCCGGCCTAGCCGGATTCCAGTCCACGGCCCAGCTCTCTAGACACAATCTTGTTCGTGCCGACAGCCGCATGTAACCTGGTCGTTCTGTAGCGTTGTAGACTGCAAAATTGCATCTGTGCGACTTCCAGCGGTGAAGTGAATGGTGCGTCAATGAGGTTGGTGGGCGAGTTGGCGTTGGAGCTGCTTGGCGACGTGCAGGATGAGCCTGTCGCAGCCCCACTGCGATACGAGCGTGGCGCCGACGGGCCAGCCGTCGTCGGCGACACCAGCGGGAAGCGCGAGCGCCGGCAGCCCCGCCAGGCTCGCAGGCACCGTCAAGATGTCCTGAACATATTCGGCGACGCCCGCATCGCGCTCCTTGTTGAGCGCCGATGCGAGCGTGGGAGCCGTGTCTACCGCGGACGGGTGCAAGATCACGTCCACTCCCGCCGCGTTCGGTTGCGCCTCTTGTGGGGTCTGGCTCAGCACGCTCGATGGGCTTGGGATGCGGAGGGCGGTGGCAAAGTCGCGCTGGATGTCGGCCCGCACGCGCGACGCCTGGAGAAAGAAGTTGTCAAACGCATCGGCGGTGAGCGCAAACGTGCCGAGGAGGATGCGCTTGCGCACTTCGTCGCCAAACCCAGCCGTGCGCGTGGCCGCATACGCATGGTGCCCCGGCACGGGAGGCACGTGCAGGCCGTACTCGACGCCGTCATAGCGCGCCAGATTGCTGCTCGCCTCGGCAGACGAGATGATGTAGTAAGCACTGAGCGCAGACGGTGTACTCGGCAGCTGGATCGAGACCACCTCGGCGCCGAGGTCGGTGAGCGCTTCCACTGTGCGTCGGAATGCTGGCAGAACGCGCGGGTGCAACTCGACTGGAAAGTACTCCTTCGGCACACCGACACGGACACCCTGCAAGGGACGCTGCGAGTCCGCAGATGGCAGTGCGGCGATCACGTCGTTGACGAGCTGGGCTGCGGTGTTGCGCGATTCTTGGCTTGCACTGGTAGGATCGCGGGCATCATGCTTGGCCAGAACACTGTGGACCTGCTCTGCATCCTCGACTGTGCGCGCGAGCACGCCGACGGTATCGAGACTGTCGGCATACGAGACGAGTCCCCACCGGCTCACCAGGCCGTACGACGGCTTGAGCCCCACAACACCGCAGTAGGCCGCGGGGAGTCGGATCGATCCGCCTGTATCCGAGCCGAGCGCAAACCGCACAAGGCCTGCACGTACCGCCGCCGCTGATCCACCTGAACTGCCTCCCGCTGACCGCTCCGTCTCGGCATCCCAGTCCCCGCCGGTGGTGTCGGAGCTTTGTATTGGGGAGGCCGGATTGCGTACCGCTCCATGCACCGAATGCACATTGTTGGAGCCCATGCCGAACTCGTCGCAGTTGGTCACGTAGCGCAGATCCGCCCCTGCCTGACGCAGGCCTGTCACCGCAGCAGCATCGAATGTCGACTCGTACGTCTGCAGCATGGCGCTCGAGCACGACGTTAGTGCCCCCTTGACGCAAAAGTTCGCTTTGACCGCCGCGGTCCAACCGGCGAGAGGCGAATTGGAATCAACATCCTCAATCGCTTGCGATGTGGGAAGCGTAGCAACAATGGCATTGAATGGATCGTATGGCCCGTCTCGTAGCTGCACGGTCTTGCTTGTAGCTGCTGTCGGGGATGATGAGGTGGAGCTGTGCCGTTGATGACGAAGGACGCCGGTCCGAGCCGAGGATGTCTTGTGGACAGCGTGGCAGCAGCTACCCGCACACGCACGACGCTGCACGATACTGCTGGTGCCTACGCTGAGGCACCGGCTGACCGCAGTTGCTCCCGAGCGCGCAAATGTCGAGGCCATCTTGCACTTTTGCGATTGTGGGTGGTGGTAGTGGTCAAAGCGATGAGAAGAAGCCAGCTTTCTTCCAGCGGCCGTGGACCCTGAAAAAGGGCAGTGGAGGTCGCGCACTTTTCTCGTACGGCAACCAGCAGCGAAGCTCTTCGAGTGCTTTCGGCAGATCATGTCCTCCTTGTCTCATTTGGCACTTCACATGAGGCAACGGATCTGTCTTACTCTTGCGTACACATAGCTGAGAGTCGCATAGTACCTTTGCCGTAGAGTGAATTGCGCCCAGAAGGTGACCAAAGTGTGCTATCTGCTGCTTTGAAGCAAAAAGCGGTAGTTGCTGGAAAACAGGAGAGAAAAAGGTGTTACGAAAATCGACGATGAAAAGGCACCCTCAAGAAGCTGCAAGGGAAGGCATGCGCACGCTCAACTGGTGACTGGGTCGTGTGGATCGAGCACCACCAGTGCAGTCCCGAGAAAGTGAGCACTCGACGTCGTGGATGTCGAAGGGACTGGAAGCGGCGTTGGCGAGAGAATGGCGGCTGAGCAGCTCGCTTGCGGCGGCCGGATCTCGCCTACGCCAGAGGGAGCTGGTCTGGAATGCTACACCATGGTACAGTCAAATTTACAGCTTGCACCGGGATAGATGTTGGCCGAGGGTCCGTGAGCACCGCCGACCATGGCGATCGCATTGGAGAGACACACGAGCGAGAAAGCATCAACACAATCACGGCTCGAGGTGCCAGTTGTCATGCGGCGAACACACCTCTCCACGCCGATCGGAAGCTCAATTTTTCGAGAGTGCCGACCAAGAGAAAAAGAAAAATGCCACCCTCGCCCATCGGTGCCACGCAGCCGAGTTCGCGTGGGCGACAGTTTTCAAGCTTGACAGCTGACCTCTGGGCGGCGAGCAGGCGTCGACGATGGTGGTGGAAGGCGCTGGCTATCAGTGCGAGCCCACTCGGCGACGCGACCACCGTGGAAACCCTCCGCTCGAGTCAGACAAATTGAGGACCCTGGGCTCGAGCTGAGTTACCACAGTGGAAGCCTGAAAGCCAGGCAGGAGGCTGAGTGCATACGCGGGTCGGAAGTGTACCTCAAAACACAAGGTCTGGAGCCAAGGCACAGACTTCAAGCTCCGCCATGCCGCTCGAGAGGGCGAATCTGGACCGGCGCCATCGAGCGTTCTGCAGCGACAGGGAAGGCCCCCCCCCAGGGGGCAGGCAAAAAGGGAGGGCGCTGTAAAGCCGAGCGGATGCACGAGAAAGACAAAAAAAAGTGAGACAGACCCGTCCGATCGGAGCAGCAAACAAGGGCGGCCTACGTGCCATTTTCCCACTTTACGATGGCGACGGCAACATGCCGAGCAGTGATCAACCTTGCAGCCGGCTAACTCGGACTCCCAAGTTTGAGATCCAGCATTCCGGACGGATCGCAGCAACACTAGCACCGTTTGGTGAGCGTCCGGCTCGACGGTGCGATCTGAAGGGTCTTGCTCGCTTGCGAGGAGAGACATTCACCCGACAGAACGAGAGGCCGTCAGAAGATCAGCCTGCAGCCGTGCGGGGGTTGACACCAAGATCGCGACGACAGGGCGACAAAAGGCTTGGGTGTGCTTGGCAGACCAACGGTGCGTACGCGCGGAAGCCTTTGCATGTGGGGGTCGATGGGCACGGCGAAGCGTGTGGCTCGTCTGAGCTTTCTTTTTGCTCATGGTCGGCCGAGATGCAACGGAGTCAGCCGACTGCGCGATGGCTGGGGCGGGCGGAGCATCTAGCTCAAGCTCAGCTCCATCTGCATCGACGGCTGAACATGTGAGCATGCAAAAGCCGCATGTTCTTCTGGTAAGCTCGAGGGCAGATGCGCATGCCACCAGCATCGGCGTGCAGTGGAGGCGAAGCATCACAGTGCTGGCTCTTGTCAAGAGCCGCGTTCAACCTTGCGTAGCAGCCAAGTGCAATTGTTGGCGGCGTGGCGGCATGCGGGAGGTCAACGGCGAAAGGTTTCCTACGATGACTGGCATTCGCTCGCTTGGACGCTCACTGCAGCCTGTGCATAGGAACGCCGTTGTGGCGAGCGCGGCCAGAGGCAAGAAAAGAGGGTGGTTGAATTCATTCTGCGCTCCAGGTTGAGGCGAGGCAGAAGGGGTCAGGACGTCCAAAAGCCGCCCGCATGAGACAACCATCTGCGGTTCTTGAGCCATTTCGATCGACGCAGCCAAGCGGCACGGCACACCGGCCATGCGGTGGGCGATGGCGTGAGCTGGGCAGGGGAGCGCTATCCCGATCTAACACCGTGCCAGCATCGCGCCAGTGCGCGCCAGTGTGGCCGGCTCAGGCTCCGCTGCTGCAAATTTGCTTTCCCGGGCCGAATCTCGGAAAAGAAAAGACCAAAAAAGACCGAAAGGGCGTCACGTCAGTCAGCGCGTCAGGTGAGCAAGTGGGCCAGTGGGCCAGTGGGCCAGAGGAGGCCAAGCGAAAAAAAAAGCGTCGGCGATGGTCGCGGTTGATTCATGGATTGGCGTGGCAGCCGCAACGTGCCCCAATTTGCCACCCTCTGCCCCAGTGCCTTGGCAGTCGCATCCGTCCAGGTTGGCCTGACTTCGATGGCCGCGGACCCTGGCAATCGGTCGGAGGCGGCCAGCCAGACAACCAGCGCGTCCGTCCGCCTACCGCCACCCCTCTCTCTCTCCTCTCTCTGGCCTTCCGGTGCGTCTTTTGGGGTCGGCGCTGTCAAGTTGTGAAACCGCTCGGAATCCGAACGGCTTTAGCCCTGGCAGTCGCCCTGCGATCCGGCTGGACCGCCTGCTGGACCGCCTGCAGGACCGCCTCCTCCTCGCGCTGCCCTCTTCCCCGGCCATCGAGGACTGCCGCCTGCGCACGCCACAACAATTTTGCACTCAGCGTACAAAGTATACACACACTCTTTCCCCTCTTAGGACTTGTCCAAGTGCAACGCCACTTTCCTCTCTCCACACCACCACCCCGACCTCGTACCTCCCGCACCCAGCTATTCCACATCTGCTCCGGTCCTGGTACTCCATCCATACGCATCGAAACAACTTCACGCAGGCCTATCAACACACCTTGTCCTTGTTTTTCGCTCTTCGCAGCCGTCACAACACGGCAGCACAATCGACGCACTTCTCAGTCGTCACTTACACACCATCGTCTTGACATGAGCCGTTAGGCACATCAACCTTCTCATCGACCACGACTCCCCATCTCTTTTCAAACAGCAGCTCATTCTGCTCGCCATCTATCACTGCCACACCTGTGACAGCACTCTAAAGGATTGAGACACTAGTCTCTTTGTCTTCCGACAACTCTCTCATCCAAGCCCCTGTGCACCACGCACAGCGCTTGACTGCCAGTCTGGTAGTCTAATTTGATTCACGTCCCCAGTATCGTCCCGCAGGCTACGATCATCGACGTTCCCCCCGCTATCGGATTTTAGTCGCACCACTCTGCGATTTCCGTGCTGCAAAAACCCTCTCCATCATCTCTACCTCTCCTTAATTCTTCTTCATCCGACCTCAACATCGACTCGGTCTTCCTTCCAACACAATTTGAACATCCCATCGCGACTGCACCAACGCATCCCCTCCGCAGCAGCCTCACATCACAAGAGCTTTTGCTTACCTTCAAGCAACCTTTTCCAACCATCTGCCGGCACCACGCTCCTCAGCGTTCTGGCATCTCCAGCTGATTGGGCTCTCCAACTTCGTCAGCTCCCTTTTTCGACGTACGGCGTCTCTCCGCCTTCTGAAGGGTAAGCCGCTTTAGACAGACTATCAATTCATGTCATTGGCCGCTTCCGCATCTGCCAACGCCGCAACCCTCCCCGCCGCCGCCGCCACCGTCACCGGTCCTAGTTCGCCTCTGCCGCCTACCAACTCGCTTCGCATTCTCCTCGTCGATGACAATCACATCAACCTTTCCGTGCTCTCGACGCTCCTCAAGCGACGATTCGGCCATGCTCTAGCCAAGCCGCCCGTCAGCCTCGACAGCGGCCTCAAGGCGCTCCAGATGCTCCGCACCCAGATCTTTGATCTCATCTTAATGGACATCGAGATGCCCTACCTCAACGGCGTCGAATGCACCCGCCGCATCCGCGCCGGCGAGGACGGCATCCTGGCTGCCAACCGCGGTGCGCACATCGTCGCCGTCACCACCAACGTCGGCCCCGAGCCCGCCGCGCTCTACCGCCACACTGGCATGGACGGCATGATCAGCAAGCCAGTCCGCTTCCAGAACTTCCAGCAGTACCTCTGCCCGCTCTCCATCGAGGCGTCCGAGGCCAAAGGCTCCGTCACGCCCGTCCTCATCGGATCCGAGGAGGTGATGCCGCCCCTGCCGCCTATTGATCTCGAGCATCGACTGTTCTTCGTTCCCACCGATAACGGCGGCACGGTCACCACCTCCAGACACGGCATCGACCGCGTCGAGCCCTCGGCAGAGTACTCGGATGCCAACGGATTCGCCGCCATGCTCAAGGCGCAGACGTCCAAGTCGCTTCGTGACCGCAAGGCGCTCTCCGTGTCTCGCTCATCGACGCTGTCCGAACCGCGCAGGTCGTCGTTCAACTCGCCCAGGTCCGAGCACCTGCCTACCATCCGCCCTGTGCAGCAGTCTACCTCTGCCGACTTGGCGCACTTGGTGGCGGATGAGGACAACGACGGCTTGTACCACGAGCCTCAGCCCGCCAAGTCGACGGACGCTGAGCAGACCCCGCACCTCTCATTCCAGTCGCTCATCGAGCGAGAGACTCGCGACCGCGAGCGCGACCACACGATCGAGAGGCGAGCCCCCTTGCCGATTCGGCCGACGCCCGTCCACCGCATCAGCTCGCCCGCCTATCTGCTCGACGCCTCGCCTATCGCCCGCGTACGTGCCGACCCGGCAATGCGCTCCGACCCGGACCTGGTGCCTCATCCTGCACGTCGTCCCGACATTCGGCCTTGGCCTCCCAAGCGGCTGAGGCGCGATGATGCATCGGACGAGTCGTGGAGCGGCACTGCGGACAGCGCGCTCGACAGCGCCAGCGGTGGGAACACCACTTCGTCTTCGTCGGCCTGGTCCAGCACGCCGAAGTTCTCTGAGGACGGTGCTACGTCTCGCCAACTGGGCGCTTTTGACGCGCTCGGAAGTCTGAGCCATCAATGCGGCTCGAGCCCGTCGTCGGGCGTCACCACACCGAGCTCGTCGCCTGCCGACATGGGCCTTCGAGACGATTACTCGCGCGACGCCAAAGACGACGACCTCGCGGGTGCTGTCTTCAGCCCGTGCGCCGACGATCTGCTTTCTCCTCGCAGTCGCGAGCTCGGATTCGTGCCGCCTCTGCTGCCCTTGAGCACCAAAGCCGCCTCGATCCAGAACAGCCCGCGCATCTTGGTGCGTACGGGATCGGACAAGGCGCAGCTCGGCTTGCGCATGGACGAGCTGCATCTCGGCTCGGTCTGAGATGACAGCATCTGTCTTTGCGCATCAGGCTTCGGGTTCTCCCTACATCAATGGAGACCTTTGGAGCAGCAGCCTGCTGGCGAGCGCTCGCTCTTTCAAACTTGGATCTGCTTTATTTCTCGCCGATTAACCGCGCGGTTGGTCACCACGGATCTCTATCTCTCTCTCGCCCTTCGGGGTAGTCTCTCTCAGCTCTCGCCATCTCTCGGACCTCGCCGCATCGAGTTATACCCTTGTGCTCCCTCGCCTCTCGTCCGGGTCATCCTACAGTCACGACTTCTTCTCGCTCTCTCTCTCTCTCTATCTGCCTCTGGAACGTCGGGTCATTCTCTGGCTCTTCCGTCTCCATCTCTCATCACTTGGGTCTCTTCACTGTCTATTCTTCTCTCGTCGCCTTATCTTCGTTGCTTTGTATTTAGTGTATTTCGGTCATCACTTGGGGTCTCTCTTGGTCATTCTATCGGGTTTTATCTCTCCTTAGTTGTCGGCTGTGGCGATATTTGAGCTAGGATGTCGACCAGGTGTGTTCGTGAACGAGGGGCAGGACGAGAGGGGATTGGAACGGCAAAGCGTGCTGCCACTGCGAGGGAGGATGATTAGGTAATGCTGATAGTCGATTCGCATCGAATGTCAAGGGGCCGCGCCGACGAAGAGGGGCTTTGAATTCGAACCCAGCGCACGCGCCAGCCTCGGTCGCCCAGGCGCGGTGCGCAAAGTGTTGGTCCTGGCCGAGACAAAAGGAAAACCGACTGCTGCGCAGAGCGACTCAAGACAGCTGGCCCCTGACGCGCCGCACGCTGCTCGAAAATTCGCAGCGTGGCCACAAATCACACCGCCTCAGTCTAGGAGAGAGAGAGTGCACGGGCGCAGGACAGCGTGTGCGCGCTGGCCACCTTGGCTGTGCTCGAGCGCGTGTGTGCGTGTGTGTTGGGCGAGTGGGCGAGTGCGGGTGTGCCGACTGCTGGCGACGAGTGGACTGAGCGATTCCCAGCCCGAAGCTCAGAGAGAGAGCTCGGCGTCATCATTCGGCTGAATTCGCGGCCCCTATCTACATCCACCACGATCATAACCCATCGACCGCTTTCACCAGCTCGACCTCAATCTTTACGAAACAATCACGAACTAGACGACCCTTGCCTTTCGACCACCACCACCCACCATACTATCTTTCACCATGGTGAGTGTCATCGCTACACGGCTCACAGCTCGTCTACCCAGCACCTCGCAACAACTTGCAGATGCCTTGGCAGGTCCGCAGACGCATTACCGGAGATGATCACTCTGGCTGGCTCGCAGGTCGAGCAGAACCGCCCGAGCGGGTCCGCTAGCAGAACCGCTATGGCTGCGTTTGGAGCCGCGGCGTTGGGATATACTGGTCTCTATCATGCCACTCCTCCAAGATGTGGCTGCTGCCCATATCCGCAGGAGCGAGATTGGGATACGGCTGGACTGGGCTCTCATTTCCACCTATTGAAGCATTGCGCTGACCTCGTTTCTTGATTCTCTTCCGCTAACCCTCTGAACCGATCGTGCGACCCTTGCATCTCATCAGGACCGCATCAAGGAGGTAAGTGTGGCCTCATTTGGCGGAGCACGTAACCGCGTCCTCAGACATCTGACTTTGAAGTTTGCCTATCTCCGTCTGCAACCAAAAGAAACTCAACTCGCTCCGTGTCGAGGCTGATGCCGCCGCCGAGCGCGCCGACGAGCTGGCGGCCAAGAACAAGCAGCTGGAGCAGGAGCTGCTGACCAAGGACCAGGAGATTGCGTCGTTGCAGCACAAGCTGAGCGTGGCCGAGGGCGACCTGGACAAGCTCGAGGGCAAGCTGCACGAGCACAAGGCGGTGCGCGAGGAGCACGAGTCCAACGCCACCAACTCGGAATCGCTGCAGCGCAAGGTCGACCTGCTCGAGAGCGAGCTCGACACTGCCGAAAAGAACCTGCGCGAGACCACGGAAAAGTACGTACCCTCTGCTTCGCCTGGCTTTTTATTCGTCGACTGACACGTTTGCACCCTCTCATCGAAACTGCAACTGATTGCACTCTACAGGCTGCGTCAGGTCGACGTCAAGGCGGAGCACTTTGAGCGCCAGGTGGCGACGCTGGAGCGCGAGGTGTCGCAGTGGGAGAAGAAGTACGAGGAGGCCGAGGAGCGCTACCGCACGTCGAAAGCAGAGCTGGACGAGGTGGTGGCGCAGATGGAGAGCCTCTAGGTCGTTGCCAGAGTCGGAGCCGGAGATTGCAAAGTCGATGCTGCAAGCACCCGCGGCAGCACGCCAGGTGGCGGTGGCCCAGACGACAGCGGGGATGCAGAGGAGGAGCGATTGCTGGCGGCAGGCGAGGAGGAAGAGGTGGAAGGCGAGCAAGAGATGGACGACGGCGGAGTGGTCAGCATGGTGCGGAGCTTGTCGCAGCGGTCGCTCAGTCTGGTCAAGCCGGCAGTGCAGGAGCTGTTGGTGACCTTGCTGGGAGTCTGGGCGCAGATGCTGCTCATGCTGCTCGCTTCTGGGCATGCTGCAGCATCGCCGGACTACGCAAGTCCTGACAAAGGTGGTAGCGACACAACCAGCAAAGAGTCGGAAGAGCTGCAAGGCGATTCGCAGCCGATCTTGCAGGATACGCTGTCACCCAGAACCATGCTTGCGGCGTTGCCGGCCCAAGTCTGTACCTGACAGGCTCGTTGCCGCCTTTCACTCACTCGCACCACTCCCTTCATCTTGCCCGACTCATCCGCGACCGCGACTTTTTTCGATCCGACTCTAGAGCAAAGAAAAATGTGCATCGGTTTTGATTGACTGCGTTGGGATTCGAGCTTGAGAGACAGAGAGAGAGATAGCCTGGTGAAAGGAGTGGCACCGCAGGCCTGCTGCTCATGGCCGTGTACGGCCGTGGAGAGTGAGCGTTTCGGAAAAGCAGCCGCGTCTCGAGCGGACGAGGCCTTGACGCACGTGACTTGAACAGGCAGAGGCGCGAAGTGACGCCGCCGCCTTGAAATACGATTTGGGCCGGGGTGAGCGCGAGTGTTTTGGATGTGGAAATTCGGCACTTTGGCAGTCGCCGCGAGGCTGCACGGATTGTGTTACTTTTGAGCCGCCGCTCGTCCTGGAGAAGCACGTCGATCGACTTTCCATCTATCCATCCAACCTTCACAGTTCAGCACGTCCAGCACGTCCAGCACGTCCAGCGCCAACCGTGGTGGCAAGACGCCTAAGCTAAACATCAACGCAACCACCATCTCACCACACCACTGCCGGACATCATGTCGAGCATCCCAGTTCCTCAGACCGTCAAGCGCCAGCGCTCCACAGCAACACTGCCGGCGGCGGCCGGTCCCAGCAAGCTCAGAGAGCCCGGTGCTGCGCGCACAGTGGCGGCAACACGGTCCATAAGCACTGCCGACAATGGCAGATTCGTCCCCGCTCGTCGCACCGCCACCACCGCCTCTGCCGGCCTTACACTCCCGCGCGCTCCCATGACCAACACCACCAACAGACCAGCCGCAGCAGCAACACGCACCGTCAGTGCAACCAAGGCGGCTCCCAACGCTACGGCAAGACGAGGCGTCACCAGCGTCACACGGCTGCGTCCGGGCACCAACGCAGCAGTCGCCGCAGCTGCTGCCTCCCGTAGCAGCAATGGTAGCACTGGTTCCGCTGCCTCTGGCGACGTCGACCCCTCGCGTATGGATGCCATGGAATCACGCCTCGCCTCGATGGCCGAGCTGTTCGAGCTCGAACGTACGAAGACCGAAGAGAAGTGGAACAAGGAGCGCTGGGAACGCCTCGCTCAGGAAGACAAGGTGCGCCAGCTCGAAGAGGATCTGCTAGAGCAGCGCAAGATCGCCCAGTCCAAGCAGGAGGAGATCAAGCGCCGCCGCACGCTCGCCGACGACGAGATGCTCCAGCTCACCGCCAAGTTCAACCGAGAGAAGCGCCTGCTCGAGACCGAGCTCGAGCAGGAGCGCGAGACGGTCGCCGCACTGAAGGCGACGCTCAACCAGCAGAGCACAAGCCATCTGACCATGGAGAGCACCAACACCGCCCTGCGCTCCCAGATCCAGGTGCTCCAGGACGAGATCGAGACGCTGCGCTCCAGGATCGCCGGCATGGATGCCGACGTGGCCGAGACCAAAGCCGCCAACGCGCATCTCGAGAACGAGCTGCGCGAGGCCGAGAGCCTGCGTCGCAAGCTGCACAACGAGGTGCAGGAGCTGCGCGGCAACATCCGCGTCTTCTGCCGCGTGCGTCCGCCGAGCAACAACGACGCCAACAACGGCACCGAGGCGCTCGCCACCATCCGCTTCCCCAACGAGCGCGAGGCGAGCCAGATCGAGCTGCTCGCCGCTGCCGAGTCGGCAACGGGCACCGTGACCATGCGCAACCACCTCTTCACCTTCGACCGCGTCTTCCAGCCCAGCGCGTCGCAGGCGGACGTGTTTGAAGAGATCGCACACCTCACCCAGTCGGTGCTCGACGGATACAACACATCCATCTTTGCCTACGGCCAGACGGGTTCGGGCAAGACACACACGCTCGAGGGTGCGCCCGACTCGATCACGGGGTGGGGCAGCAATCCGGCGGCGGACGCCGGTGCGGGTTTGATCCCGCGTGCGGTGCAGATGCTGTGGTCGACGGCCGAGAGCCTCAAGGACAAGGGGTGGCGATACGACTTTGAGGGCTCCATGCTCGAGATCTACCTGGACAACATCAACGACCTGCTGGGCAAGAGCGAGGTGGACAAGGCCAAGCACGAGATCAAGCACGACAAGGGGCGCACGAGCGTGTCGGATACGGTGGTGGTGCCGCTCGATTCGCCGGCGCACGTTTTTGCGCTGCTGGACAAGGCCAAGAAGCGCCAACAGGTGGCGGCGACGCTGATGAACGAGCGCAGTTCGCGCTCGCATTCGGTGTTTATGCTGCGTGTTCGCGGGCACAACACCACCACCATGGAAGCTTGCGATGCCGTGCTGAGCCTGGTCGATCTGGCCGGTTCGGAGCGTCTTGCCAACTCGGGATCGGACAAGGATCCCGTGCGTCTCAAGGAGGCGCAATCGATCAACAAGTCGCTCTCGAGCCTCGCCGATGTCATCTCGGCGCTCGGACAGAACAAGACGGCCAACCACGTGCCGTACCGCAACTCGACGCTCACCTGGCTGCTCAAGAACTCGCTCGGCGGCAACTCCAAGACGCTCATGCTGCTCGCGCTCAGCCCCATGGCGGCGCACCTCAACGAATCGCTCTGCTCGCTCCGCTTTGCCACCAAGGTCAACTCGACTACCATCGGAACTGCAAAGGCCGTCAAGTCGGTCGCATCTTAACCCTCCTCCGCCCCGATTCAGCTTCGCTTTCCTACGGCTTTTCGCCGCCACTATACCTTTCTTTTGCTCTGTTGTGCGCTTTTTTTCCTTGTCTCGATGTCTTTGATGATCATTCGCTCGTACAACTTCTTGGTGTGTCGTTTGTGGCGATTGTGACAAAGTGAAGAAATTGCATGCAATGCTGGTGGTGGCAGTCTATCCAAACACGCGAAGACCGGCCAGATCAGGCTGGCCGTCGATGGCTGCATCCGCATCGTCTACCACATCCTCGACAACACTCGAGTCGGGAACCACGCCGACGGAGCTGGAAGCGAGCTGTCTGAACAGCCTGTCGATCTGGTCGGTGCCCCACTTTACGCGGTCCGGAATGGGGGGCATAAAGTTGACGATCTTGTCGTGCACTTCGTACCTCAGCTTTCGGCCCTTGGACGCACGCGTATCCACCGCGGGCTTGTTCTTCTTGTTGCCGCTCAAGCCCGAGAGCATCATGGCTGCCGTGGTACCGTCAGCGCTGGGTACGACGCCGGATCGACGCTCAATGAGCTCCTTGAGAAGCGCCGAGTAGAAGTCCGAGTCGTCGAATACCTCGACGTCTACCTGGTCGGCGTCGACAGTGCGGCCGAGTTTATGCGCTCCTTCTGATTCGGTCCGCAGCACACGCGTGCGTGCTACGAGGCGCCCGAGACCATCACCTGCCAGTGCTGCTGCGATCTGCGTGGACGGCGTCTGATTGACCGCACGCAGCTGGGTGAACTTGTTGCCATTTGATGCGGCGGATGCAGCTGCAGCCGCCGAAGTCACCTTGAGACTCCACTTGTCCAACACGCCGCTGCGATGCGGCTCGGATGCAGCCGAGAAGGCAGCAACATCGTGCATGACCGCATCGATCTGGTCGTGCGAGCGGATCTGGCTCCATGTCGACTCGGCCTCCTCGACGTCCTCGGGCACGGTGACGTCAAAGTCGCGCTTGCGCTTGCGTGTGATGGGCGCATCAACGGTATCGTCGTCTTCAGCGTTGGCCGAGAGCGCGTGCAGACGCGTGCGCAGCGAAAAGAGCGTTTCGGAAAGCTCCAGCAGCTGTTCGAGCACCTGAATCGCCGGCTCCATGGCGCTGGAGCTCGAAGACATGGCCGCCGAGTAAGGCGAGGGGTCCGGAAGGCGGTTGACGTCGCGCAGAACGTTCTGCGCCTTGATGCGCGCCTCGAGCGCGCGCTCGTATGCTTTGACCTGCTTGCGAACCTGACGCCCTTTCTCGGCATCTTCCACGCGACGTGCCCGCAGCGCACGCGCTTGCGACGCCGACTGCGCCATCTGCGCCGCAATGCTGTTCGATCCAGACGCACCAGCATCGGCACCATCGTCCGAGTCGCCGTTGGCCGAGCGCGAGCCGTGCTCTTCCGCGAACCGCAGCTTCTTCTTCTCTTTGGGCTGAGATGTTGGAGCCGCTTCTTCGTCATCCTCGTCTTCGTCCTCGTCCTGGCTGTCGTCATCGTCCTCGCTATCTGAAGATCCCTGCGACAATCTTTCGATGTCCTCGTCCTCGTCTTCATCTTCGTCATCCTCCTCGTCGTCATCGCCTGCAAAGAGCTCGGCACGGGTGGTCTTGACGCCGTGGTAGCGCGGGTCGTTGATCTTGTCGCTCTCGCTCAGCGCGGCCTTCTTGCGCAGCTCGCTCGGGCCAACATCTGCGTAGTGTGCTCGTGGGTTCATGTGGTCCCCTTCTTCCGCATCGTCATCCTCTTCGTCATCCTCGTCATCGTCATCCGATGCGGAATCAGAGTTGCCGTTGGCAAAGGTCGAGGGTTCAGGCTGGTCTGCGTCGAGAGCTTCTGGGTCAAACTCGGCGGGAGCTGCGTTGGTGAGCTGGCCTAACAAGGAAGCAAGCGACCCTTTTGGCGGCATCTTTGCAGTATGGCGAGCGCTGCGCTATGATAGTGGTGTGGTGAAGAGAAGAAGGTCTTCTGGATGAAGCGCCGCTCCACAAAGGCAGGAAAAACCGAAAGGCAGCAGCTGAGCTTCCAAAAATTCGCAGCGCGGCGGAAGGCAAATTTGGATCACGTAATCCTGATTCATCTGAGCCCTTTTGTTCGTCGAGCGGGTCGTGAAGGTCTTCGCGTCGCAACAGCCGTCCAACAACTCATTCCACCATCAACACCAACACCGACATCAGCTTGCCTCGGTCGACTTTCGCAGCTTCACAAACGGCCGCAAATCAGGAACGATCGCAACGCTCGCCCGAGCATACACAGCAACCATGTCGTTCGGCGGAGGCGGCTTCTCGTTCGGCGCCTCAAACACCAACCACAACAACAATAACGCCAGCGCCGCTCCAGCAGCAGGAGGTGCGCCCGCCAACAAGCCTTTCTCGTTTGGCAACACATCCACGGGTGGCGCCACTGGCGGAGGTCTGTTCGGCTCGAGCTCCGCAGGTTCGTCCACGGGAGGCTTTTCGTTCGGAGGTGCTGCCAAGCCCGCCGCGCCAGCTACGGGTGGCTTCTCCTTCGGCGGCGCGACCTCGACTCCCGCATCGACCGCAACGCCTGCTACATCTGCTCCTGCCTCGACTGGTAGCTTCAGCTTTGGTGGTGCAGCCAAGCCCGCGGATAGTGCGGCCGGTGCGACTTCGGCCCCTGCTGCGGGCGGATTCTCGTTCGGCAATGCTGCCTCCACAGCTGCGAAACCCGCAGCCCCTGCGACTGGTGGCTTCTCGTTCGGCTCGACGCCAGCTGCGCCTGCTCCAGGAGCGGCTGGTGCATCCTCTAGCACCCCCGCGAGCGGCAGCGGTGGTCTGAGCGGCTTCGGATCCTTCAAGCTCGGCGGCTCCACCGCACCCGCGAGCAGCGCCTCTTCGAGTACTCCCGCGCCCGCGGCTGCACCAGCCAGCGGCGGCTCGCTGTTCGGCACCTCGAAGCCAGCCACTACCGGTGGTTTCTCGTTTGGCGGCGCCTCGTCCACACCCGCCTCGGCGCCCGCTGCAGCGGCTCCCGCGCCGGCAGCCTCCACGGGCGGCTTCTCCTTCGGAAGCGCCACACCGGCTTCCAGCACGCCCGCTTCCTCGGCGGCTGCGCCCGCGCCGACCAAACCCGCGCTTGGCGGCTTCTCGTTCGGCAACGCGGCGGCGACCCCCACATCCACGCCGGCTGCCTCGTCGGGCGCAGAGGCCAAGACGGCCGCACCTGCGCCTGCGCCCGCGGCTTCAGGCGGCTTTTCGTTCGGCAAACCTGCTGCTCCGGCCACCACCGCTGCGCCTGCTACTACGTCGGCTGCGGCACCCGCTGCAGCTCCAGCTGCGCCTGCTGCCACGGGCGGCTTCTCGTTTGGAAAGCCTGCGGCTTCTGCTGCAGCCACCACGTCGGCGCCTGCCGCGCCCGCCGCCTCGGCCGCTCCTGCTGCTAAGCCCGCAGCTGGTGGATTTTCATTCGGCGGAGCCCCCACGGCTGCTACGACCACCACATCCAAGCCCGGAGAGACGGCACCCACTGCTGCCACTGCCGCTCCTGCTGCTGGCGCGCCCGCGGCGGCGGCTGCAGGTGGGAGTGTGGGCGCCGTCCCCACACCGTCTCTGCTGCGCGGTAAATCCATGGACGACATTCTGAACCGCTGGACGGGCGAACTCGACACGTCTGTCAAGGAGTTCTCACGCCAAGCAGCCGAAGTGGCCGCGTGGGACAAGGTTCTCCTCAAGGGCGGAGATGAAATTGCGTCTCTGCTCAGTGCGCTTTCTGCGGCGGAAGAGAAGCAGGCTTCGGTGGACCGTACGCTCGACTACCTCGAGTCTTCCCAGAACGACCTTTCCTACCTTGTGGGCGAGTACGAGTCGCAGATCGACAGCCTGCTCCCCGGAATTACGGGCAATGGTGGCCAGGGCTTGAACCTTACTTCGGCGGATGTGGAGAGGGAGAGGTCGTATCAGCTCGCCGAGAACCTCAATTCGCATCTGGACGATGTGGCCAAGAATCTGGCGGCGATGATCACGGAGCTGAACGCAACCAGTGCCGGAAAGGACCAGGCGGATGCAGAAAGGGACGGCAGCATCGCCCAGATTGTTGCGATTCTCAACGCCCATCTGGGCAGCTTGAAGTGGATCGATACCAGCGCAGGTGCCATGCGCAACAAACTCGACGCGCTCAGGAGAGGCAATCTCTAGAGGCCCCGCACCAACCTGCAATCAATTCGTTCTCCGAGTCCATGCTGCGCGGTTGTGTTTGTCGAAGTCACAAGGCACTTCTTCTGCCGTCACGTGGACGCTGATCACACGTGGGATCCCACAACGCGCGTCGGATGAAGCAGATGATATAACGGCAAGCGGGTATAAAAAGGTGGCGAACTCAGAAGCTAGACATGCGCGCTTGTGGTGAAAATGTCGAGGGGCTGTAGCGGGGAGAGGGCGAGTTCGAGTTTGAAGGCAGTATCGCCCGCGTTCTCCTTGTCGGTCTCCAAGGCGTGGGGTGAAAAGGGTCTGGAGAAGCAGACGATGTCTTTGGATGCGCTTTCAGTGGTGATGGCAGTACCGGACGAGTCGGAGGAATCGATCGACTCGCTGCGCGGTTCCTGTCTGCGTGTGGACCTTGTGGGTCTTGGAGGCGAATCTGCCACTCGGGATGTCGCCTCCCGTCGGCGCAAATGATCCTCCTGGGCAGCATGGAGGTCGGCCAAGACTCGGTCGACCTCGCCTTGGTGCTGAAGCAGGCCGTGCGAGTCGCGGTCGTCTTCGATCCACTCGCGTGCATCCACCTGAACAGCCGTGCTATCGTCGGCAGCAGCATCTTCGAGGATCCAGCCCTCGTCGGCACCCACGCGCGGGATGAGGCTACTGCGCTTGTCCACCTTGGCAAAGTCGTCCTCGGAGCGTCGCTTGAGTGTCTGGATCGAGGTGCGCTTGCGCAGCGAATTGCGCTTGTGCAGTCGCCCACCCTCGTCGGATAGTGCCAGTACGCGCTGTACGCTCGCGCGCCGTGCGCGCCGCGCCGCCTCGTCGAGCTCCACCACACTGTCCGTCTCCTCCCCGCCTGCGCTGATGACCTCGGTCGATGCAGGGATCAAGCTCGGCAGCGGCGCGGCAAATGCCAGATCGTCCCAGCTTGCCTGTCGGTGTCGCGGCTCGTCTTGCACCGGCGCCGGCGGGGGTGGAGCAGGACGCAGGGGTCTGGGGGGCGACACACTCTGTCCTGTCGGCACCATGCCCAGCGGCGCCTTGAGCGGCTTGTACGCCGCCGCGAATGCTGGCTTGGGTGCAGCCCTAGGCTCGGCAAACGGCATCCTCGCAGCCGACGGCAAATCCATGCTGAACGGCGTCGCTGCAGCGCGTGGCTCTACGCTCGCCGTGGGGATCGTGGGTTCCGACCCGCGTCTCTCAGCTGCAAACCCTCTCGCACTGCTCCTCCGCCCCAGCCCAGGAGCCGCGCGCGTTGCTGCCTGAAAGATCGTCCTGCCCGCTGTAGCCGGAGTTGCTGCTGGTGCTGGGTGGAACTCGGCATTGGCGTGCGCGAGCTTCTCTTGGCGCTTGCGCTGCTTCGCCTCGTGTTTCTCCTGCGCCTTGCGTGCCTTTGAATCGTGTTGCTTGACGAGCCTATCGACACGTTCGACTTGACGAATGAGTGCGAGCTCGTGCTTCTGCCGCGCCTTGAGCTCCTTTTTGCTCAGCTTTGGCAGTGGCGATGTAGGCGTTGCAGGCGGAGAGGGCAGCGGGGTTGCACCCGAGTGGGCCGAGAAAAGCAAACCGTCGGGTTGACGTCTATCGAACGCACCGGGTGCAGCGGGTGCCGAGCTGGGCGTGACGGGGGTGAGGGGCAAGGGTTCTTCGACGCGCGACGAATCGAGGCTCTTGCGACTGAAGAGCGACGGGAAGGATGCCTTGCGCATGCGTTTCCCGGATCCCTTGGACAGACTCGAGCTGGCCGACGACGTCGGGGTCGACGCATTGCTTTCGGCGACAGGCGAGGTGAGGCTGGGTACGGAGGAGGTGCGCGTCATACCACGCATCTCGTCCGAGTCGAAGCGGATGAGCGGTTCGGGTCGGCGCGGGTGTGGGCCACTGGGTTTGTTGCGCGGGGGAGCGTCGGTGTCGCGCAGGACATAGCTGCGTCGTTTGTTGGGCGGCACATGCAGCTCGACGACATGCTGCTCGTCATCATCGCACGACGTCACAATCACATCCGGGATGCTAAAGTGCGATCGTTGGCGCGAGTGCTTTCCCGTGCGCGCCTCTCGCTGCGCAAACATGGTCTGCATCGGCAGCGAGTCGGCCCGCGTGCGTCGGCGATCGTCCACATCACTCTCGAGCGTAGCAGGCCAATCGTACCCGCCTGGCAGGTTGGTCGACGTCGGGTACTGGTAGTGCACCGCAATCACGGGCGCCGCACCTTCGCTTGCAGTCTGACGTGCCGACCGCGCGCCATCGCTTTGGGATGTGCGTGGGACGGAAGGTGCGTCCGGGAACGAGCGCGGCGTAGAGGCGTCTTGCCGAGGTGCGGTGGACTTGGTTGACTTGCCCAGACGAAACAGCGAGAGGCGCGACTTTTTGGGCGCCTGTTCGCGCAGAGCCACCACCATGGTATCGATATATGCAAATGAGAGTCGCTCGTGCGCTACACTCGCTTCCCGCTCATATTGCGCTTAGAAGAGCGATCTTGGAGACGTCGAGAAGACAGCGTGTGTGCCTTCGAGAGGGTGGTGTGGATGGTAAAAAGCAAAGACGAGATGGGTGTGGCGTATAGAAC